GACGGGGGCGCGGGCCGCGGGTGGCGCAGGTGCGGCCACCGGGCGGATGGGGAACGGAGTTGCCGAACGAGTGATGGGGAAGGCGCCGCGCCGGAGCTCCCGAAGCGGTCCAGGGGTAGCCGTTCCCTTAATGAGCTTCGCTCGCACCAGGGCTTCATATTGTCGGAAAGCCCGAGTGCGCCAGCCCAGATAGTCACGGAGGTCTGGGGGTCGTTCGAAGACGTGATGCCGTTGTTGATCAGGGGGTCAAGTCCGTGGCGGTACTTGGTTACCTTAACCAACGCGTCTTGAAGCCAGCGAGGTCCATCAAGTCCTCGAAGTCGTCGGTGTATCCGTAGACATCCCCGTTCCCATGTGATAACCCGCGCTTTCCAACTTAGCGAGCGCGAGGTCCTGTTCGTTCTCCTCAACGAACCGAAGGCGAAACTCGGAGAGGAACTGGCTCCACCGAGGGAAGGGGAAGGGGTTTTTGCTCCCATGACGCTCTGCCCATTGCTGAGCAGGTCCCTCCGCCATATAGGACATGGTGTAGCGGACGGGCCTTTTCTTCGCTCGGCTCTCCGTTGACCACGAAGGCCTCCGGGGCAAGCCGGCGTAAGTCTTGACCGCGTATAGGAAGGCGCGGCGGCCGCGTTTGCGATCCCCGTTAAACGCAAACGGAGGGTTTGGTCGTAAGACCAGTTTTGAGGCGACAGTAATATCACCAAATAACGCATCCGCGTCGGGGCATTCGGAGATGCCAGGCGGTTCGGGAGCTGCCGAAGGTGGTGCGGCAGCGGAAGCCTGGGAAGCAAGGTGGGTGAGGATATTGGTGAGGTTGTCTAGTTTCGCCTCAAGTGCGTCCATGCGCGCGTCAGCGTCCGGAGCAGCTCCGGTGGACATAGCGGGCGTAAAGACGACAAGAGCAGAGGAGGAGGGGTCAAGTGGCAGGGGCGGTGACGAGGGGGGTACGGACTCGTACTCCGAGCCTGAATCAGCGCCAAACCTGGCAATCTTGACCGGTTAATCCCGTAGAGAGTTTCTTCTGCTGTAAGGGCAACCCTGGAGACTCCGACGAAAGCCTAGCAGGGGAGGATCCAAAGCGTGAATAAGAGCTACGGGAAATACACGGAGGGACCGACCTAGCAGGGGAGGATCCAAAGAGAAGAAACTCTAAGGGTCCGCCTGCTAGGGCGCCAACTATATACTGGTCGTCCGTAACTGCCGACGTAGAGCGCAGAAGGCCTGAGCGGCGTCCGCAGGCTCTGTCCCAAGGTGATCGTTGGGAGGGTCTTGACGGATCGGTGATTGTGCGGGCGAAGGAGGCCGTGGACGATGGTCGGGGTGGGTCGGAGCGTCCGAGGGGGCGCCGGTCGGATGCGCCTCGGATGCGTTCGGAGGGTCCGAAGGAGGCCGAAGCGGGGGTTCCCCTGACACATATACCATCTTGTACATGATATTTAAGATATCTGGTAGTGTACCCATGTACATACCAATTAATATACTGAGTTGAGTATCCACTAACTTCCGTACCCTTTAGTGGACACTAGGTACTAAAGTTAGAGGACACACTAGCCAAGTTAGGCCACTATGATACAGTGGGGGCAGTACACAATCATATACCATCCTGTATATGATATACAATAGGGTGCTGTGAGTAATGCAAAAAGCATTACTCACACCGGTTTCGAAACCGGTTTCGAAACACCCCCCGTTTCGAAACAGTTTCGAAACCGGCCGGCCGGGGGTCTGCTGACAGCCGGCAGCTGGGGACGGGCCCGGGTATGATAATCCTGAGGAGTATGCCATGGGCCAAGGCCAGTTGGTGGCCGAGACGGCTCCACTGCCGCGGGAACTCACCTGCTTGGCCTTCGGTAGGTGATCGCAGGTGATATTTTGGGGGGGATCAGACCCCGGCGGTCGGGCCCGGGCCGCCCGGAGGATCACGTGTCGGTTTCGAAACCGGGTCGGCTGGCCATTGATTTCAAAACTAACACGTGTTTCGAAACCGGTTTTGAAACCGTTTCGAAACCACCATTACTCACAGCACCCTAATATACAAGATATCTAGTGGAGTACATAACTCATACCTACTGATTAATATAGACTGGGCGTCCACTAACTTCTGTACCTAGGAAGTTAGTGGACACCTAGATACAGAAGTTAGTGGACACCTTCAGGGGAGATACTATGATATGCCACATCTCATGAACTACTACTACATATAGTGCATGCATGATAGGGTTAGTTATGGACTCAAGAAAGCATACTCATAGTAGTGGCAGTAGCTATTTCTATGGTAAGGTAGGGGCCGTGGGAACCCCGCACGTTGACTAAGCTGATTGGATCAGATTGATGCGCCAGTGGTGGGCGGGAGGGCGGGGCTATATTCAACAAGTAAATATGTGGAAAAGGATCTTAGACTACCCCTCCACATTTGTTAGGTCCGTACTGGGGTGTAGCTTAAGGTATTCTCTCGGCTCATCACCCCAAATGATGGCGCCGGGACACCCGGTCCGAAGCCCCACGTGACGCCGGATCAGCGGAAGTAACACATGTCACATACTTTCCCACCGCCGAAAACGCGTCGCACATGGGCAAGAACACCAAACGGGCACGCGCCAGCCGTGCCAACGGTGCAGCTGCTCATCACACCGCCTCTCGCACATCTGCCAACGGGATTCCAGGTGCGTGTGCCATGTCAATTGAGAACGAGCGGCAAGACTGACATCTCTTTGCTTCTCAGATGCACTTCTGACAGAAAACAACATGTGGGAGGTCGAGCTTGGACCAGAGTTCCCATTCGTGGATGATGCGGTCACGAGCTCAGATGAGACAACGACTCCGACATCGAGGTTCTCGGGAGCTCACCAGTGGGAGATGAGGATGCAACGGAGGAAATCTTGGCGACATTCCGGGCATTCCTCGAAAATGCTCAGCAAGCGGCTCTAGATCGGGCTCTCAAAGATGAAGAGAAGACGCGGATTAATGCGCTGGGTCAGACACGGCCGATAAAATACAGCAGCAAAGCTTTACGAACGAAGCAACGACAGGCGCAACTGGCTATCCAGACAATGGCCAAGAAGAAGAAGATGAAAACATTCAATAACGCCTTCGCGTTCATGATGCGGAAGCCCGAGAAACAGCAGCATAAATCGGGTGGGCAGGAAACAGTCGCAATGGATGTGGATGCCGAGCCTTCAACGGAGATGGAAGTCGACACTCATGGGCATTCCGCCATGGACCCGGACGACAATAACATTGAAGAGGTGCGTGGCAGTCCTGCCTGTTTCAAGTTCTACACGCTAATTAACTTGCAACAGGTCTCTGAACCATCCACCATTCCCACTCGCGCTCCTTCGACAAACTCGCTTCCTAGCTGTCCACCATCGACAACTTCTGCTTCAGCTCCCACCACATTGGCTTCGGGGAGCACTCTGGGATCGTGCATGGACCCCGTTAATCTGGCCCATGTAAATCTTATGAGGCCATTTATCACAAACAATTATTTACTCCGCACCTGTGGTGTCCATAATTGTCCTTGTGTTCAATTGACATGTTTGAACTTTGCCGCTGTGGTTTTGGTGTCAGGTTGAGCGGCTGGTTGAATTCTGTCATAGCATGTCAATGTTACCGTGGTTTCAGAGCGTGAGTGTGCCTGTTGTGATCGTGCTGCGCGCATGATAGCTTGGGAATGGTGGTGGTCTGAGTATCGCTTATCGGATCAAGACCCAAAAATGGAAAGGCCGGTCTTCGGATCATACTCACGTCGCCACACTCACATCAGACTGCCACGTCGACGCGCGCCAAGGCTCCTTCAACGGTCCATTGGCGAGCCAGCCATGGACGCTTAAGTACTGGGAGTGGGACGTCGTCGCTGGTACCCAAATCTTTGCCTTCTGACTGAAGAACCAACCCCAACCGCTGTTTTTCCATTATGGCAAACCCAAATCCGGTGCGTCTCGTTGTCTCGCCTTATTCTTTAGCTAACCATTGGCCTGCCTACGCAGTCCGATCTATCCGCCATCTTGCACACCCTGCAGGCTCTTACTCAAAATCTTCAGGCGCCGATCGCAAATGCATCTCCGGCTCTGCCTGCACCCAACTCATCTTTGGCACCGCTGTCTGCCTCTGCTGCCCCACCGGTCTCAACGCGCTATGCTCGCTCCTCACTCCCGGCATCATCTCTAGGTCACCCAAATGCGTTGGCCGGTACATCCTTCGCCGGCTTTGGCTTCAACTCCCTCGTTGGCCCCAGCGCGAGCGCCAATGCCGCGCATCCTCGCTTCTCTCGCGCGGTCCCGGACAGCGACGCCATCAGCAGCGCCAATGGCCGTCGTCGCGTGGCCATGGTGGCACACGCTCCGGTTTCGGCTTCAAGCCAACTGCCCGTTCGTCGCGGTCGACGTGGCGCGGCAAAACACGCACCTGGCACGACTGCTAACCCGCAGCTGGCGGCCGTCTTGTCCGTTCGGCGCCATAGTGAGATCACGCTATCCAACACGGATGTAGCTATCCGCCATGTTGTCTTCACGCCCACGGTATGTCCTTTTTTCTTTAATACAGCTTCACTAAGCAAAGTCTTCTAGTCCGCGGCCAATCTCGCTGTGCCGCAGACCTTGTGGGCCGATTTTTTGGACTTCGGCAGCACCTATGGGCTCATTCTCGAGAATGTCGTGTCCCAAGATGCGACACTCGGAGAGCTGATGCCCGAGCTCATTCACTGGCTCGAGACTGGTGCCGGCCGCTGGAAGCTAGGAGCCTCGTCCACAGAAATCACCCGATACCTACGCAACCGTCTCCCCTCCCTTCAACACCTTCGTCTGCTCAACAAGGGGACTGCTCGGGCCGATGGCTCGGTCATGCTGGGGCGCGTGACCGCCGACACTTCCCTTTCGGTCAACGTCATGTTGACCGAACCGGGCAAGTGAATTTGCGAAGCACGGCATTTGTCTGCGTGATAACCGGCTTCACATCTTCTGGGGTATGCACATCCATCTTTCTTTTGTATTTTCACTCATATGTTTTTGCTAGTCATCGCCAATAGCAACGCTTCGTGCATCGCCAGCATCGACAATGGTCCCAAACGTCGTCATAGTGCTTGTATTCCCGCACTCCAACATGCGCTGTTTTGTTCCGAGACCAGCCTTGGTGTTGCCGATGACTGGGAGGGTCCGGGAGAGTGTGACTCGGGCGGCGAGACGGACGATGAGTTCGAGATTGATGATATACTGATGGTGCGCTGCTTGCGTTCGAGCGAGATCGCACTGACTCTGCCTTTCAGCGAGACGAAGATGATCTGATGACGCCTACTCCAACCCCTCGCTCCCGAAGGACCACGGTAAGGGAGCATACCACGTTCCCTCGTCTTGCTCATGCAGTATAGGCTTCTGAGTCTGCTGCAGCCAGCAATGCTGCAGGTCCGTCTGCGGCTGGGAGCATCGGTCCCGTTCCGGTTGCCAACACTGTTAACTCGCCCACCCCAGTAAGTTCATTTTGATATCTATTTCTTTTGAATGGATGCTTACCTACCATGCAGAGCGCGGTCATCTCTTTCCGAATCCGTGGTCACGGCGCTGTCTTCACGGACTATGAACCCCCCGCGGGGACGCCAGCCATGCGCAGCATCCATTTCGCGCCCGATCTTGCGGCAGCAACGTTCAAAGCTGCATCGGAGGGCAATCTCCCCGCCGAGCTTCTTATCGAGGGCGAAACCAACGCGGAGATGGCCCAATCTCTCATCCATATTGCGGAGGAGTGCTTCTCTGATGGCCTCTACGATCTCGTGCTAAGCTCGGACAGGATTTTTCGCCGGTTAGCTTTCTTCTTCTTGGTTGATTTTGTGCTGAACCGGACATCTTCAGGATAAAAGTCGACCCAATCACTGGAGACAAAATGCCAGTGGCCGATGGAATCGGAGTCGAACGCGAAGTTGTATTCGCTGCCTTCCAATTCTTCACGGAGAAGCATGCTGGCGCATTCCTCCTGCCTCGGGCCGACAATTACTGCAGTATTGCCACAAGTTCTTTCATTCATAACCCTGGCGCTGTCAGCGCAGCACGCAAGGCATCGATGGGGGCTTTTGGTTGTGTTACTGCTCTGATGCTCGTCCACCAAATGGCGCCAACACCACTAATTCCCGGCATTATACTCCTTCCTGTCTGTCGATTCGACATGCGCTGCTTTACGCGCTCCTTTGTTCAGCAACTCCATCCCGAACTCGCAGCGGACATCGACCGGGTGAAGGATGCGGGTCACGCGGGCAGCCTCTCAGCGTCTGGATCGCACTTCTTCTCCTTCCACAGCGACGTTCAGGTAAGCAGGTCCCCTGCGATGTAGATCCCGGCTGACTGCCGACAACAGCTTGCTCTCTTCAATCAGCGCACTGAGCCGCAACACGAGGCTCTCCTGTCAGAGATGGTCCTTCGCGGGATAGTTGGAGACCAGAGTCCAGATGGCCCTGAGTCTGTGGCTTGGTATAGCGGGCTCAACAGTCTGTGCTCCAACGGGTTCTCGGTGCTTGAGGTATGGTAGTATTGAATATTATTTAAGCCATGCTTATTCCTTTCAGCTTCTAGGCCGACTTTGAAGCGATTCGGGCAACTCTCGACTCGCAGATTCAGTTCGACCAAGCCGACGATCTGGCGTTCCGCAGCAGAATTGCGGCCTGGGCTATCACAGGTAGTCCGCATCTCCCCTCGCGCAACGAATTAGGTCAGATCAAGATAAGTTTTGTTCTCCCGACCGAGCCAATCTACATGGCTTGTGTTCGGAACACTCAGTTCCACTACGACTCCGGCAATATCCTTTTCCGCGCCTGCTTCCGGTCCGCTTACATCCCATATGGCTTCCTTGTCAAGCTTTGTGCCAATCCGTACCCCACTTTGGATGGCGAAGGTAATCCAATTGCGCCGCATACGCTCGAGGAAGCCATCGACAACTGGCTATTCTTGCAGTTCATCAATGCCATCGGTGGACATACTGTAGTTTAGAAGTTTTAATATACTCTTGTGTGCTTGTCTTTCCTTTCTCATAGGCTACAATTGTCAAGGCTCCTTCAAGTACTTACTTTTTAACCTTGGCATAATTATAAACCATTGACCATATTGAATGATGCAGGGCTTCATTTGGACTGCATGGACTCCTAAGCTTATCTATGAAGCTCAGGTGTTTCTAACAGATGCAAGTTATGAAACAGAACTCATATTGGCTACCCCCGATATACGGGGAGGTTGCCAGCACCACCGATAATAATTTCCTTTTTGGGAATGACAAGTCAAAGGGCAAAAGTAGACCAATAACAGTTCATGGATCCATTCTTGAACTGTGTGAGAAATTGAATATATGTAGGTAACCTACAGGACTGAGTTTTAGTCCTTAATTATATATCCACAGTTGCCAAAAATGGAAAATGTACTAAAGTGATATGGCAAATGCCTACAGTATCTAGGAAAGAACAAGTATATACAGTAAGGCAGATTAAAATGGCTCACTATAGTGAATGTATTTGCCAATTCAAGTACTTCAGGTGCAGCATCTCAAAATTTGTGATGCATACTTCTTCAGAGAATTTTCCGAAACTTTGGCTGCTAGTTTGAAATTATTCTGGTGGCCTCTAAATTGTTTGCGCTGGCTGAATCGATGATCCGGATGAAGAGGGCCGTTGGCTGACCAGAGTGATCTTATCTGAGTGAATAGAGTATAGGCCATAGTATCTGATGATCGTTGTGTTGGAATTTATGTATTCAAAGACAACAGCCACATACTTTGCGGCTCATCTGCCCTCCATGTTGATTGTGAAATGCGCTGAGCCTGACAATAGAACCGCAACTTGTTCGTGAAAGTCTGGTGGGAACGCCAACCAAACTCGTTCAGGACTTCCCATGTCGAGATGGCACTAGGCGCTAGTTCGGGTTCGGTACAAAGGCCAAGATGCTGAGTGGAATCTGCGTCTTCAGGATCGAGCCCTAGAGCTTCTACAATTTCCCGCATTGCAAAGAACATTGTTGCTGTTGCGATGATGCCGGTGCGATTGCTTGCAGTTGTATATTGTGCCAGACAAGCAATGTCCGCATATTTGTCCTGGAGTTTTGTCTGAGCATGCTGATCAATCAGCGAACGCCGGAAGGAAATGCTCGGCCCTCCCTCGAGCAGAGGGGTAAGAGGTGAGGGTGATGGAGGGAGAGATGAGTCGGGTCTGTTCGATGGACTGGAGAAGCGTGAGAAGATGTCCCAGTCAATGCTATTTGTTGGAAGGAATGGATTGGGGAGTGGGACATTGGGCAATGGGTGAAAGAGTGTGGTTATGTCCTCAGACCGTTGAATAGTGTTGACTTTGAAACGAAGAAAAAAGTGTGGTCGGTTGGAGGAATTCGGCACTGATCGGAAGTAGGCCGGATCGTCGGCAGTGTTTTTGCACAGCATGGATGAACGGGACCCGACCCTCCAGAGGGAGGTAACCTAGGTGAAACTCCTCGGAAAATGTCCAGGTCTGTGCTGTGGAGACAGATACTTGCGCGGCAGCTTCTGCTACACGCGTTTCTAGTAACTGGGAGACCAAGATTCCAAGTGAGGACTCGCACGTCAAGAGGTGGCCTCGGAGCAGATCAAAGAGATCGGGGAGTGCTAGCTTCCCAGGGTATCCAAGTACCTGAATTGGAGCGCAGACGCGGATGCCAAGAAAGACCTCCGATGTGCAAGTTCCGTTGGAGTCCACGGAGACTTCACAACTGATACAAGGGGCTAAAGAAGAACAGTCACCAGTCAGTCAAGTGACAGGGAAGCCAGATTCTGACCTTCTGCGAGCGACATCCTGTGCCGTAGTTGCCACGTCGACACGCACGATGTGACGTGATGTGATGTGACTAACCACGAGGGTCTTCCGACACATCTTATCGTCTGCCATCATGGACAACAACTCTCCTGCAGTACTCTCCGAGGATGCATTGCGCGATGCAATCCGAAGTCACTATCACCGATTTGAATCCATGGTCCGGGAGGTAACGAGCGGAGCTCATGCGGATGCAATTGTGATTGCGCGGCTGGGAGATGATCTGAATGAGTTTACGTCAATTGTACGTGAGGTGCGTAGACGATATTATGTCAAGGATGGCAAGGTGCTGATGACACTAGCATTCAACTGTTCTTCCGCAAGACGAGTTCGCACTTATCGATGCTAATCTGGCCGATATGCTACTGGACATTCGTCTTCAATATCAACGCGCCGTTGATGAATCTCACTATGGCTATCCGACAATCGTGCAAACTATGGGCTCCGAGCGGCCGGGTCGCCCAAGGATTCACATTGACCCGGATTTCCTTCGCTGGGCATATACCCAGCGCTCGACGTCAGGCATTGCTCGGTTTCTTGGGGTCAGTCGTCCAACCGTCCGTACTGCCCTTCTGGAGCTGGGAATCGTTCAACCACAAGCCGATCCATTCGCTGGTTCTGTTGCTGACTCGAATCAGCCAGGCGACACTGATGAAATCCTCGAGCCCGATATCCCAATGAACGCCACTCCCGACATGATTGAGAATCTGGCAGCACAAGCCCCCCGTGCAAGTTCATTCACAGGCCCGGTCTCTACGATGACAGATGACGAGTTGGACGAAATGATTTTACGTCTACGCTCTCACTACCGACGTGCTGGCGTTCGAATGCTTCACGGAATGCTGCGGCGTCTAGGGCATCAAGTTCCGCATGAGCGCATTCGCCAGGCGCTTCTTCGAATTGATCCTGTGCGCCGAATCTTTGAGCGAATTCGCATCCGCCGCCGGGAGTATCGGGTACTTGGCCCGAACTCGCTCTGGCATCATGATGGACAACACGGTAGGCGTTTTACACTTGCTGCGGGCCCCCCGATTGAAGGATATCTTCAAATAGGTCTTATACGCTGGGGAATTGTCATCCATGGCTTCATCGATGGCTACTCCCGTCTCATCACCGGACTCCGTGCGAGTGATAACAACTCCGCCAATACGGTTCTTGCACTTTTCTTGACTGCTGCTGAGATATACGGTGTACCCTCGCGACTACGAGGAGATCATGGCACCGAGAATCTGTATGTGGCTGCATGGATGGAAAGTCATCGTGGACTTTGGCGCGGGTCCTATATCTGGGGCAGGCAAGTTTTTCGAACCAATCTTTGAAGTTATTTCTGATATAATCCATTTCACATAGAAGCGTTCATAATATTCGAATCGAGCGACTTTGGGTCGATGTCACCGCACAAGTTGGGGCGACTTGGGCTGACCACTTCACCTCCCTTGAACTTCACTATGGCCTCAACATCAACAATGTTGGCCACATCTGGCTCTTACATTTCCTCTTCCTTGCCACTATCAACTCTCAGCTCGCTTTCTTCGCCGAGTCATGGAACGAGCACCGAATTCAGATCCGCAATGGCCCGAACCGATCCCCTATTGACATGTTTGGCTTTGACATGCTCATCTGTGGTGTGCGTGGCGACGAGTTACCGCCCGAGGAGGAAGGGCTCTCTGAAGAGGAGTTAGAGGTGTATGGAATTGATCACCTATGTAGCCTAATATCCACTGTGTACTATCTAGTCCACCCCAGCGGGGTGTCGCAGATAAGCCATGCTGCTCTCAGCATTGCCATAGAACTGAATAAACCTTGGAAAGGGAACTGAATAAATCTGAGCAGTTCTTAGGTTTTCACCATTTTTCGCACCAAGTCCACATGACTGGCTATTATCACCTCACTCATAGTATGAATAATGTTGAATAGACTGGGTATTTCCTAGTAGCATTGTATATAGTTTAGCTTATTAGTATATGTATAGCTATCATATAAGTGTATTCTGATATGAATAATAATGAATAGTAATGAATAATTCACACCCTCTAGAGACTTGGGTTGAACTCAGCACCTGGGTTATATGTGTGTCATAATGTGTGACAAATTTCCCCAAAAGGAAATTTTCACTATTTGACTGTATAATCATCAGAGAATGTCACAGATCATCACAAAATCAAAGTTGTGTATTTTGGCTATACAAACAACTTTCATTAAGTGACCTATACTCGCAACTGAATAATTGTATTACTAGAATTGGCCAATTATTAGCTGATCTACACCTGAGTAATATATCAGCAAGTGGATAACTGATATAGGAGATTAAAGCACTACCAAGGGTACGTAAATGATAAGATCAATATCCAGGACAATAAAATGTTATTTGCATAGCTATATTATGCTATAATGATTCATCACCTACATTGACACTGCAATATCTCCACCAATCCTGCATCAAGTGAGTTGATTTTTGTACTGGTAGGTAGGTAATAACGTAGTATTGATATGCTCTGATGTGATCATGCTTATATATGTTGAGACTATGATATTATACCACTCTTTGGTAGTTGTTATATTTCAAATTTGATTAAACTCAATGATCACTTGATATCTCACTGGGAAATCCATGGATAAGCATAATCTAAGTTGTGCTATGTTATAATGGATGTCCATCATAGATATGGGAGCTTTCCATAATTTTAGGTGTCATATCTACCTCTATATATGACATATATCTTATCACACTAATATCCCAATAACTCACTCAGAAGTGTGGGATCCCCAACACAATAAGAGTAGGAAGCATACGGAGGGGTCCCCCTATAAGATTAAATCTCCCACACCACATTATATACATACGAAATCTTGTTATTCCCTATTATAATGATGAATAGTACTGCATATCATATTGGCAATACAGCTATGATCTGCCAGTTGATTATAGATCAAATATGTGAAACTTGGCAAATGAGGTGTATACATCTACCTCCATACTCTGATTGATCTCTATATATTCTTGGAGGATGAATTGGGGTGAATATCCCAAGATGAGTTGAGTGCAGAACTGGTTTACATGAATGGTAGGGTCTATAGACTGAGTACTGGACATTGAGATGCATGTATGAGGATATTTGGATGTCTAGTAGGACCCCATACTATAATCCATCATGGTTCTGGCATGTATTACAGAAGGTAGCTGAAGAGAGGGTAGGTACCCATAGAGCAAAAGAGAGTGTCCTATTACAACTGGTCAGAAATTAATTTCAAGTATGATGCAAGACTTGGATATAAGATGGTCTAGACCTTCAAATGAACCTATCCAGCACTTGAATCAGCCTCATAGCTATTCTGGATCTCTCACAGTACCATTATCAGTGTTATCTATCCCAATAATGATGAGTTCATCATAGCATGACCTCTGCAAGTCTGGGAAATCTGAGTCTATTCACTAGTAGGAGTATGGTCCACCCTCTAGAAACTGGTGCCTGTACCCCTCTAGCATATCTCTATCCTGGGTTATATAGCACCTAAGGTCTCTATTAATTGACTGGCCCCAGCATTTGTCCCATGGTGGAAAATGAGTAAGGTTGTGCTAGGCTATCCTATGATATCATATCAACTTAGATCATGAGATTCCATGCATGTAGTCTTAGGATATCACCAAAATACTGCTTAATTTAGTATTCAGGCATGCTTGGCAGTAAATAGATCAGGGCAATGGTGACGAAAAATATAACCGATGTGACTCAAGGATACTAGGATAGTATACCTTTCAAATGAACTCTATTTCAACTGTATCCACCAAGGCTAGCTGGAGATCTGTGCCCATCTTTCAGAGGTGATGGAGATCAAATTCTACTGATGTGTGAATGTATTGTATTATCAGTGCCATAGTCACTGGGAGTGAGGAGGGTATACACCAGGGGGTTTTGTTAGAGTAGCTAAACTTACAAGTCTGTCACCTTACATTGTTAAAGTACTAGATATTCCCTTTTTTATTACCGAATGATCAATATAGTAATCATATCACATGATTATGATCAAAATACTTCATAATCAATACTTGCCTTTGATACCCTTCCTGCTAGCACTTGATTCGTGTATTTAGGTCGAGCAACTATTGAGATAGGAGCCCATCAGTTAAATATGAGCTCGTGATGGGTCAGTGCTAACACATTTATTGAGCCACCACTATAGGTTACTTAATGAAAGGTGTTTATATAGTTACAATACACAACTTTGATTTTGTGACAAAGTGTGACACTCTCTTATGATTCCACTGTTAGACTGTGAAAATTTCCTTTTTGGGAACTGTGTCATCCTTGTAACCTAACAGTATATATGGAGCTGATCTGGGCTGCACAGGTGTCTGAATTTCACTTACTATTAGGACCTGGTATACAATTTCCTTTTTGAGTAGTCCATGATTACACAGAACTGACTCCTATACTTGGGTATATAATCACTATTGAACATTATTCATACTATGAGTGAGGTGATAATAGCCAGTCATGTGGACTTGGTGCGAAAAATGGTGAAAACCTAAGAACTGCTCAGATTTATTCAGTTCCCTTTCCAAGGTTTATTCAGTTCTATGGCAATGCTGAGAGCAGCATGGCTTATCTGCGACACCCCGCTGGGGTGGACTAGATAGTACACAGTGGGTATTGGGCTACACAGGTGGAATTGATTGGCAGGGTCTACGGGATGAAGATGTCCTTGCATCCCAGCAACACAACAATCCCACTACGGAGAACTCTACATCATGGCTTGGTCATATGGGGCCACCTGCTGATTTGAGTCATGTGGCAGTTGAACCTCCCATTGGAACTCTGACTCAAGAACAACTGGCCATTCTGTCAGAACAGGCAAGGCCACTTACAGGGAGTGCTGAAGACAGTGACATTATATCCCTTTGGGTCCAGGCACTTGCAGTAGTTAGAGACTGGTACCCAGATATCTTTTAAAGTATTTCTATCTAGTATCACTGTCGAGATTATTACCCAAAATCAGAAATGGTTAACAATAATAATATAAGTAACATTATGGTATGGTCTTCAGTCACAGAATATATATCAATAATATAATTTAAAATAATATTATAAAAATATAATATTATAATAAGAGAGAAATAAAAAGTTTACATTAATTTATTCCCTATTGATGATGATGAGACATTTGATGGTTGAAATATTTATATACTCCCATTTTATACCTGGAGATTAATCTGTCTTAGGAATATATTGCCTGGCAGTCTGCAATGTCTAGTGTTAATATGAATTTTAGTAAGTTATTATCTTATTATAACAGATTGTTACCTTAAGTTGATGATTCCAAAGTCTGGATATATTCTTAAGACTTGTGCCTTTGTAATAGCATGTGTGGGAGAGCAAAGTATATATAGCATGGTTCATATTGAATCCAACTCTTTCTTGTAGATCTACAGAAACCAATTAACTAAAAAAAGGAAATTTACCCTATATGCCTTCTATTGAGATATGCATGGCTATCTAAGGTTTGATGGGAGCTTATAGGTCTTGTCCATTTAACTCTCATTTACTACAAGACAGATTTCAACTATTTAAACCACTATGATCTATCACCCATTATATCATTATCTTGAATATCTTGAATATTCAATGATAGAAAATTTCTGTGATGGACATAATATTAAGACTTGGCCTTCGGGCATACAATTTATTGGGTATGGTAATATATATAACAAGTAAGATTCCCTCCCTCCCCTTTACATCAAATAAAGGACTGATCCAAAATGGAAATTATTTGCCATAACAGGCAGTAAGAATTTGTGAGCAACCCATTTATTTGTTGAGAGCAATACTTCACGTACTGTCACACCGAGTAGGATAAGTCCTGTGTCGTGACGGTCACTGCCCTTTGGCATTGACCGCTCCGACGCAGGTATGTATCATGGCTACACTATATACATGGCATTGACTGCTCCACGCAGCCGTCTCGTCCTGGACTCCCTCCGCGCTCAACATTATTGGGGTTGGGTGGCATCCTTAACACATTCAGAGTCATAAGATATATTTTGGAAAGAGTGCAACAAGAGTTACTTCTGTGTCAAGTGTTAGAATTTGCTCAAATTGGGTGAGTGAGTGTAGAGCCACCCCTCTCACCTCACTGGCTTCCCAGGAGGAGTTAGGTCTAGGCTAATGAAATGTTATCCAAGATTTTCCTTTTTGGGCAGAGTGTAACTGCAGTGACTTTTGCATTCAGGAATGGGTGTAGAAACACCCCCTCTTGCAGAAGATACAATAATAAGTACAACCATGTTCAAATTTACAGTTGCCACATTTCAGTTTCACAATTCACTTTTGGACAATGTCAGTGCTGAATGAAACCGAATGATTTGGCCCGATAAGCAAGTATTGATGTGAGTTTGCCAAGATTTACTCACCAAACCACAATGCACCAAAGTGAAATTCAACCTTCAAGTTTCACAGTACCATCATATAACAAAGCTCAACCACAAAATGACAAAGCTCAACCACAAAGTGACAAAGCTTATACCTCAACCACAACCTGGCTATGGAAAACCTCAAACACCAATCTCAAACACATAGAAAGACACAAGCTCAAACCACAACCATATATCTGAGCACAGACACAAACCACAACCTCAGATGGTTTATTTTTTGTGAAAACTACTCTTATAAAATCTCCGTGGGATGCTTGAAGCGCTTGAGTCTAGCATGGCACCCGACCGCTCTCCCGAATCCGCTGCTGAACGAGCGCTGAATCGGCTCCATCACCAAGACTTTGTGGCTCTGCGCCGTGCAGCTGCCCAGCTCAGTGTCCTGAGCAAGGACAAGAAAGCAGATGTCGTGTTTCGGACACGTCTGGTCTCGATGCATGGCACCCTCAATATCTATCTCAGCTCCGCGTTTAACTACACCTGGCGCCAGGCTTCAACTCTCATCGCCCATTCGCAGGGCCTTGGGAATCATCATGCCCGTCGCATCCGCGACTGGCTTCACACCTTTCTGTCAACTCAAAAGCTACCGGTGCACATTATTGGTGTAAATGACGGCGACTCCCTTTTGGATGACGAAGACTTTGCACTTGCAATTAAATTGCACCTGCAGACAGTTTGCGCGAAGAACAAGCACTTCCGAGCTCAAGATATCGTCGATTTTGTGGCGTCTGCAGAAATGCAGGAACGACTGGAGACGGCGGGCATTCAAAAGAGATCGATTTCTGTCCGCACCGCTCGACATTGGCTTAAGCGGATGGATTGGCGGTTTGGAGCTCGGAAAAATGGGATGTATGTTGATGGACATGAGCGCGAGGATGTGGTGGCATATCGAGCCGCATTTGTGAAGCGATGGATGGAGGAGTATGAGCCGAGAATCATCACCTACGACAACGATGGCAAGGAGGCAACACGACCGAATGGTGACGCCTTCAAGCTGACAGGAAAGTACATCGGACAAAGGCTCCAACTCATTCCCGTCACGCATGATGAGTCGACTTTCTACAAGAATGACCGTCGCAAGGTTGGATGGATCAACACCCTGGTTAAGCCGACACCAGAAGCAAAGGGCGAAGGGGACTCAATAATGGTTTCCGACTTTCTAGTTGCGCACTGGGGCCGTCTTCGATTGGATGAGTGCGTGATGCCTTCCTGCTTCACTTTTTTTGACATTTTACAGCTGGGAGGTGTTGAAGTATCGGGTAGCGAACCCGAGTATCGCCGGCCGGATGACATCAGCGCCGGACCGAGGCTCCGCATCGGGAATGTTCTCTAACATTCCATACTGTAGAATATACCAGAACAAGTAGAGTAGTATAAATACTCTGTATTCCTCTGTAATAAGCATTGGTTTTTCCTTTCTTCCTTCAACAGGTTATGGGCCCCGCCTAGCCTGAACTGTTAACACACGCACCAATCCTCGCCTGCATCATCCTCCCACTCCGCGGAACTCTCACGCTATGACGCACACTCTCACGCCTCTCATCAGCGCCAGCGCATCAGCACTCTTGCTGCCTAGCTACACCCCGGAGACAGCCCAACGAGCGCCTTTGGGACGGACCGGACAGCGAGTACGCAGCACCCCCACGCCCGGATGACCCCACGGCATCGCCAGCGCGTACCGCCTCACAGCACAGCCATCGGCCCGGGACCACCCGCGATGTGCTCCTCCACTCTCTTGGCAACTCCCACGCACACTCGGACGGCAGCAGCACTGCACCGTCGCCAGCAGTCAGCGGCTCGGGACCGCCTTCACACCCCCGGCCGGATGCTCGTCTCGACACGGCATCGCCCGCGCCCAACTCCTCGCATCAGCATACCAGCGGACTCAGCGCCAACGCCGCCAGTCGCCAGCTCACCTGTCACCATTGCGGTCGGCCCGGCCATTGGGATTCCCAGTGCCGCGACACGCACATCGCCTATACGGCCCAACAAAGATCAGCAGAATTATCACCGCACGGTCCGCCACCGGCGTCGACCCTGGAATCCATCACCGGCTCGAGAATCCTCGCCGGACACCGCCCTAATGGCCAGCGGGCAGCAGCCAACGCTGACCCGGAGCTCCTGGCTGCTCGACAGCGGAGCCACCACCCACATCGTCAACAACAAAGCACTTTTCCACACATATACGCCGCTACAAAGCCATTATGTAGTCGGAATTGGTAAGCTTCCAGCACTGGGGGAAGGAACGGTACGACTGCAATTCAAAATTGGGTCTAAGGTAAACAAGGTCACGCTCCTCCGCGTCCTCTACCTTCCGGCTTCACCCCACAACATCATCTCACTCGGACGACTCCACCGCGCAGGCTATCGCCTCGAATTCCCCGATGACAGCGGCGACATCATCATCGCCAAGAACGGGCATCGGCTAGCCCACTGCCGGAACATCGGAAATGTCTACGCCCTTGGCAACGTCACACCGAACTGGACGACAGCCACCCCAGACAGCGACGACGAGGACTACAACTGGCAACCAGCTGTACCAACAGCACCACGGCAGGACCAGGGGGAGTTTACTACCCCAGTCAATGGCAAGCCCGGAGCAGCCCCCGAGGCCACAGCCAAGGCCCATTTGACACCACCGCGTAGCAACGCGCTGATCCCGACCACGCCGCCATCACCTCTAAGTTCTCTCACCCCATCTCCACCTACGTCGACTCATGCACGTCCGGAGCAACGCGCACAGCCAGCGAAAGCCCCGCGAGACATCAGTAGCCAAATCACCACCGACAATATTATACTCGGGCCACGCACAAAGAAATATGCGAAGCCCGGAGCAGCACTTGTCACCACCGAAGACGCCACTTACTTCTCGGCGGACTCGCAATCGAAGCGCCATCAGCGCAATGATCCTCTCACGAGGGACAGTTCCCATCTGCCACCAACAAACATCCATCTTCGGCTCGACTCGTGTTCGAGGGGGAGTGTTGAAGTATCGGGTAGCGAACCCGAGTATCGCCGGCCGGATGACATCAGCGCCGGACCGAGGCTCCGCATCGGGAATGTTCTCTAACATTCCATACTGTAGAATATACCAGAACAAGTAGAGTAGTATAAATACTCTGTATTCCTCTGTAATAAGCATTGGTTTTTCCTTTCTTCCTTCAACAGGAGGCTCGTCTCTTCTTCGGAGCAGGTAAAAATCGTGACGGCTACTTCATGAATGACGAGCTGCTTGCCCATGTCGATAACGCAATCGACATCTTTGAATCGAAAACGCACAAGTTCGCCACTGGCCTATTCCTCTTCGACAACGCGCCAAGTCATCAAAAACGCGCCGCTGACGCCCTTTCTGCCCGCAAGATGCCCAAGGGACCCCACGCAACATGGACCAACACAGCCAATGGTCCGAAGATGCGCCCCCGGACGGATGGCGGATGGATCTGTGCAGCAGCTCTATTGGCCTGCAGGCCACCCGACGATGCCGGGCTGGTTCAAGGGCATGGAGCAAATTCTCCGGGAGCGTGGCCTCCATCGCAATGGGATGAATGCGCAGTGCCCAGGCTTCAAGTGCCAACCCAACGCGACTGATTGCTGCTGCCGGCGAGCAATATTCTGTCAGCCCGATTTTGTGGCTCAGAAATCAGCACTACAGGAACTCGTTGAAGGCCGCGGACATGTCTGCGACTTCTATCCAAAATATCATTGTGAAGTTTGTGAACTGAATTTTATAGAAATGTACTGGGGCGCAGCAAAGGCGATTTATCGTAAATCTGACAAGACTAAAACAATTGATGAAATGGAGGAAAACATGAAGAACGCACTGGATGCTATTCCACAGCTATCAATCTTACGGTGTGCTTTCAATTGTGCCCTTATTCTCAGCTAATTGTAATAGATATGCAAATCGTGCAGCATGCTTCATCTCCGCTTACTCGGGTGGCCTCAACGGTGAAGAGCTTGCCTATGTGCAGCGCCGCTACAAGGGCCATCGTATGCTTCCTCAGTTTATGATTGACCAAGTAAAGGCATCTATTGCTCATATCAAGTAATATAATGTTGTTCACATAGTTTTTGAGCCATAATATAGAAATTAAAAATTTCTTGTGCCAAATGATGGCGCTGATGCCATCAATTGATGGATTAGTCAACGTGCGGGGTTCCCACGGCCCCTACCTTATTCACTCTAGTTAGAGGGGGAAAGGCATTATAGAATCTGTAATCTCATTATACCTCCTTAAATTTAGTATCTACCATCTAGATCATTTAGTAGGGTATATGAGCCTACCCTACCTACTACTATATGATATCTGTCTACCAACTTGTAGCCTGTGTGTAGGAAAGTTAGTGGATAACTGCTCAATGAAATCATTATAAAAGGGCTTCAATATGGTATATGGATAATCATAATAATTTATAGCATGGATATATGTCCAGAAACTTCCTATCTACCTATCTATATACATCTGTTGTCCACTAACTTCAGTGGACATATTATATACATCATGAGCCTATATTTTATTAAAGAGAATGAATTTCAACTTGATTCCTTTACATATGATCGCAGATCATTAGATCAAAAGTCTTATATCTTCCTTAATATTTTAGATTTTCAATTTTTACACTGGGGGCATTACCTAAGGCGTGCTGGAACACGCGGGCCGGCCGCAGAGCTCACCGCGTACCTACCGCGGGCTTGCTCAGTGACAACTTTCTTTGTCCTAGGACAAAGAAATTCTTTGTTTCTGGGTCCGCGCTAGCAACGCGGCTGGCCCGCGGTAGGTACGAGGTCAGCCACGTGTTTGACCCGCGTGTTCCGGCAAGCCGTAGGCTGTGCCTCTAGTGTTATTGATACATCTAGGCTTATCTGAATGAAATGCACAACTTTGATCTTTGATGCGCCATCAGATCGGGACAGTGGGCGGGGGGTCGGGGAGTGTCGACATCACAGCTGGGAAGAGGTTTGATGGCTGAGGAAGATAGCCGCGAGTGTTGTGTCACCAACACTCATGATGAGTCCACTAACGTCTAAGGACTTGGGCCCCCGCTGAGCAGGATGTCCATTAACACTCACAAGGGAGTTTAAGAAAGCATAGGCAATCGTGTTAAACCCCTCTAGTTAGAGGGAGAACCCCCCCCTCCCCCTTGCCCCTCTAACTAGAGGGGATAAGCGGGCACTATAGGTGCGCAGGCTTGAGCAGGGGGTTGGACCGGAACGGAATTGGGCCGGAATTGTCTCTGGCAGGCCGAAAGCGAGGTTCCCCTGACACAACCATACTGAAATTAAAGGTAAGTACATCAGTCCCTGGATATTGCATGGTATGTAATAAAATTTCCTAATATTTGGCACATAGTTCATACTTCTATGGCTGGTTTTGCATCCAGTGTCCAGATTTGGACTAAACCGTATATTGCAGCCTAGTGAAAATTTTTAGCACTGTGACATTGAGGCGAGATTCTCCCCACAAGCTTCCTTAGAGGCTCACAAAGCTCCAGCATTCAATAAAATCCAAGCACAGGCTTTACAATTCCACATTTTGTTCTGCTGATCCTCTTAATCTAGGCCAAGTTCAGTAGTAAAAACTGGCCAGTTTTGGGGCAGTTTCTAAAAAGAATCAGGAATTGCAGCATGCAATCTACATGGATAGACTTAAAATTTGGGGAAGCTTGAGAGGCTAATAAAAAGCATCTATCCCATCCTTAGATTGGACTGTTCATGCTACTTAATTATTAATACAAACTTCATTGCAAAATCTTAGTTTTACAGTTTTGTATCCCAATTAGAGTTTTTATAGCTTTTCTTACCAAATAAGGCCCTCAACAGCAGTGACCCCAAAAATGGAAATGTGGAGTGAATAAATTGCTATAGCTTGTGCCAAACATGTATGTACAGTCCCAGGACATCTGCTTAGTATAACAGTAATTGTATTAGGTTAGAGCCTTACTCTGTCAGGTTAATTTTTACCCGACAGCCATGTTTCATCTGGACAACACTCACACAACTTACCTTATAATTAATTATTCGGCTTAAATCTGCTTAAATGGGATCAAATCAATATATCATACCTGTGATTTTCATGAAAATTCTCATCAATAACAACGGATTGACAGCGTGGCATCACATCCTGCTTTCCTCCCGACTTCCATAAAGCATGTCTTCCCACTGGAATTTGAGCGCGAGATCTCCTGGAAGGCTGCCACAATGATTCTCATCCCCAACTGCGTAAAAAAAGGGCTTTAAACTGGTGCGTCAATGCCACGTCATCCTTTCAGGCTGCTAAAAATTTTGACATACACAACGCGTAGGCTCAAGCCATGTCTTCCGCTTCACTTCAACCATACTCAGCGTTAACATCTCAGCCGAGAGAGCAGAGAGAAAAGGAATTCGAAGGCAGGAAACATGCGCAGCGAAGCGAAGGCGAGTAGTGGTATTTCTCCGGACTACTTATCGATATCCATCGTAGCGTCGTGTTTCTGGAGGAACTAATGGCAATATCTGTTTGTCAATAGAACCAAAGTCAAGGACGTCTGATTCAATCTACAATCACGGTCCATCGACACATCGTCGGAGAAGACTGCGCCTTCCTTGAAACGTGATAACTATTTACGCCTGGAACGACGCAAGATTGAACGCAGCTTCCCATTCCGAGTGCTGACAGATTGCCCCTGGCGATAGATCGGCCAACGCGTGGCGGGCATCGTGCTCCCACGCCCCTTCTCGCCTCGTTCTCCTTGCTGCTCCCCCGCCTGCCAGGTTAGCTCGCTGACAGGCCGCACTGAAGCCCATTTCCCGGAAACACCCTTCCGTGTATGCGACTGTAGCCGGCGGCCACATGCACATGGTAAGATACGCCTTCGCGCAATAAGGCTGATCCTAACCTACCAAGGTAGGCCATACTTATGACTCTCATGGTCGGACGAAGTTGCGAATATAGTGCGGGGACGACGTTGACTCGCTCCAGACGGCATCTATCAACGGAAGCGTGTGCGATTGGCTGGAACAAGCTAGTTGTGACAGCTCCAAGTTGGTCCACGAGGTGCTTTATTAAGGGCTTCGTCTTCTCTTCCCTCTTCCCTTCTTTACTCACTGTCTACGATGGCCCCCGCAGCCCGGACTGTACCCTTCGACAGCGCGCTTCGGCATGTTGCCGCTACTGCGGATGTGCTGGATGTCTTGGGGAAGAACGTCGGCACGCCGTTTCTGGATGTGATTTGCGTGACGATGAAGGCCGTCGTTTCCTCTGCGCAGGTCGGTGTCATTTACTTGGTTTGAAATGAACCTGAATACTAAACTGCTGGTAGAACATCAAGCGCAACAAAAGCGAATGCGCCGAGCTGCTAGAGCGAACGCATCAACTGCTGCAAGCCATTCTTGCACTGCACATTTACCCAAATACCATCGATCCTGTGAGCAAATCAGAGGGGTATGCCGCGCCGGTGCTGTCTCCTGTGGCGTTGGAGCAGCTGGGGCGGCTCGTTGAGTGCGCCCAATAATTCTCTCTCCATACGCCCGCCGAAATAACTGATACATTTTCAGGACGCTACATAAAGTGCACCACTTTCTCGAGGCACAGCACGACCGCGCGCGCTTTCGCCAAATATTTCGCACAAACGAGACACAGAACCTCCTCAAAGACTGTCGCGCTGGTCTGCAGCACGCAGTAGAGTTTTTCCTCGTGGGTCATATCCCCGTCCTTGACGCGTCCATTGACAATTTTGGCAGTTGGAACGCACCACACTGCTTGGCGACGTGGCAAACCTCGATAGCGCGGCGGAAGCGGAGCATGAGGAGGTGATGCGGCTCCTACGCGGCGTCAATGGGGCGGACGATCTGGAAGGATTTAGTGGATGGGACTCATCATCCGAGGTGAGAAGCACTGCTCTTGACCTGTGGGCAGCACTAATCTTGGGTACAGATCATGAAGGACATTAATAACAGGTAGACTTACCAACTTTCTCCCGCCAAGCCTGACGACCATCCCTAGCAGTTCACGTTCTCTGTCCCTTCTCCCGTCCCAGCCCAAAATATTCCACGGGCGCACCACTGAAGTGGCCACAATCCTTGAGCTCTTTACGGCCTCCGCAGCGCCGCATATCGCTATACTTGGCGCGGGCGGCATGGGCAAGACGTCTTTAGCTAAAGCGGTGCTGCACGACCCAGCGATTGCGGAGAGCTTCGGGCCGCACCGGCACTTCGTCCCGTGCGACGCCGCGGCAAACAAGATCGAGCTGGCGGCGGTGATCGCGGAGAACCTGGGCGTGCGCGGGGGCATGCAAGCGCGCGATAGAACGCGGTTTGTGGTGAAGCATCTGGAAAAGGCTCCACGCACGCTGGTGGTGCTGGACAATCTCGAGACGCCGTGGGAGCCCGTGGAAGGACGGTCGGAGGTCGAGGGGTTGTTGGGATTGTTGGCAGGGATCGAGCATGTGGCGGTCATGGCAAGTTTATATTATCGAATGGGTTCGATTTCGACATTTCTTAGGTTACCATGCGTGGTGCGGAGCGTCCAGCGCAAGTACAATGGACACGGCCGTTCCTGCCAGCGCTGAAGCCCCTGTCTCTTGAGGCAGCACAGCAGACTTTCCTCGATATTGCGGATGGCGTCGAAGAAGACGAGTACCTGAACTCAGTATTGGAGCTCTCGGATAATATGCCGCTGGCCGTGACTCTCTTGGCCCATCTTGTTGCCGATGAAGCCGACTGCAAAACAGTCCTCCAGCGCTGGGAGCGTGAGAACACGGCTCTGCTCTCAGACGGAATCGACAAAAGGTCCAACCTCGAGATTTCCATTGCCATCTCACTTGCGAGTCCGCGTATGGCTGTGCAGCCGGGGGCACAGGAATTACTGAGCCTGCTTAGCATCCTTCCCGACGGCCTCGCGGACGCGGACTTAACGCAGAGCAACCTCATATTCGACTCAAATGTGTTCGCCGCCAAAGCCACTCTGCTGCGCACCGCTCTGGCATATGTGGGCGATCACGGCCGACTGCAAGTCCTCGTGCCGATTCGCGAGCACGTGCTCCGCGCCGCGCCGCCAACGGACGGCCTCATCGGCCCACTGCGCCGGCACTATCAAGTGCTGCTGGACATATACCGCGCACATCGGGGGACGCTGGCGCAAACAGGCGTTATTGAGCGCATCGCAGCCAACTTTGGAAACGTGCAAAGCGTGCTCACAAAGGGATTGGCGTCCGATGATGCAACGGTCGTGGGCGGCGCGATCGCGTCAACGTGTATGTTGGATATGTTTAGTTTGACGGCGGGAAAAGGTCAGCTTGCGCTGATGGAGCGCATACCAGCTCTCCTAGCACAAATGAACCCACTGGACCACCACCTATCGGTGGTGTTCTATACACGGTTTCTCGATACGTGGCGATTTCACCCAGTGCCCGACGCGGAAGGGCTCATACAGACGATGCTGGATCACTGCCAATATTTTGATGACGCCGGCGTCAAGTGTAAGTGCATCGTGACTATTTTCTTTCAGACGCATATCTGACAAACGCAGGCCGGCTCTATATCGCCATCGGCTCCTTCCATCAATACCACGACCACAGTCCGTCCAAGGCACTCAAGATGTATGAGTTGTGCCGCGCGGTCGCGGTGGCCTCCGGAAACACGACACGGGAGGGCGATGCGCTTGACTGCATTGCAAATGTCCACTGGATGGCGGGTCGGCATCTCGCGTGCCGAAAATCGGCCGCGGCAGCACAAGCGCTGGCCGCTGCGACGGCGGATCTATACCGCGAGGCGCGGAGTCTGCACACGGAAGCGATGGCCTGCCGCTCATTGGGTATATATGCCACCGCCGTGGCCTACAGCCAGCGTGCCCGGGTCCTGCTCGCGCTGTGTGGTCTTGCGGATGGTGAGGTGGATAACAGCATTCTCGCCGGACTTGCGGAGTTGCTCAAGGATCAGACGGTCTACGCAACAGCAAAAGAGATGCGGCTGCTTATCCTTGCCCGGGTGTCGGTTCGCGAGGACCCATTTGACCACGCGCTAGAGCTCATCAGTATCGCGGAGCTCGATGTCCACACCGGCATCCCGCGCGCAGCGGTGGAGCAGAATATAACCGCGGCTAGGATTATGCTCTCGACTATGGGCTACGGCAAAGGCGCCCCGATCTGCGATATGGTGCAGGGGGACTTGGAACTGCGAGAAGGAGAGTATGCGACGGCGCAACAGCTGCTTGAAGGCTGTCTGCAGGGAGCACTAGGGGAAGACGGCGAGATCACCAGCTACTGCCTCGAGCGGCTCGGCAACTCAGCACGATGGGCGGCGGGATGGCCGGACTCGTGGACGTATATCTTTCTCGCGCATGCCGTCCAGTCGGGAGAAACCCTGGCAATCTTGAAAGCGGTACAGTACCTCGCGGACATCTCATTGCGCGGGCAAGACCTCGACACCGCCGCGTCTCTGTACACTGCTGCATTGGAGGGGTATGCGAGGATGGATGTCCCTAGGGGCCAGGGCGAGTGCTTGGTTGGGCTGGGGGAGATCGCGCGGGAGCGCAACGACTGCGGAGATGCCGAACGGCGCTGGACATTGGCCCTCCCGCTGCTTGAGCGCTCATCGCAAGAACAGACGTCGGATAAGGCAAAGGCTTTGCTGGGCGAGCTGAAGCTACCAAGCAAGCAGGAAGGCAAACGGCCATGGCCTATGTGTAGTTAACTGGAGCATGAAGCTGGCTATCAAAGAAATAAGTTAACTTAATAAGTCATCCTCTGTATTATCCTCAGAATGCTAAGATTTGCCTATCAAATAATGTAACTTGCATAATCATGATACCTTTTTGAGAAGTACACTGGGCCCCTCGAATCACAAGTTCCTCAGAATCAGGTATCTCATCACACCTCTTATGCCTATTGCCAGTGTGATCTGAGACATAAGTAATCTTGTTGGTCCTGGGTTTCAACTTGAAAGACCAGAGTGTTTCAACACTTGAAAGTGGAAGACATTATTTGTCTAGCGTTGATCGAATATCCAAATGTAACTTGTTTATATTAGAAACAAGAAGACAATTCCCCCCAAGTTGCAAGAATAGGACCATCGTAGTACTAGTCGCTGGACGACAAGCTCCAGAACCCAAAGCCTTGGACGGAGGATCGGGAGCTGCACCCTCGCCGCTGCTGTTGAATTGTCTGGTTGGGTCAAGGACGTCCGGCGGACTACTATGTCTGTCAGCAAAAAGTCGTCAGTGTGGTTCGCCTGCCAGTGGTAGAAATGGATGCGCTTACGTTGCTAGTGGTCCGATGGAACAGTCGTTCCCAAATAACAAACTTGAATCATTGTATGGCGTCATCGCAGACAGGTACGCCAGCTGGTGCTTCATGCAATCCTCGTAGAAGCCCGGCGGGAGGCCCCCGTTGAGCAATTTGTAGATCAGCAGCACGCTGACCTGCGCAAAATCCTACGAGTGCTGGTTAGATATTTCTTTCGTGGAAGTTGAAAATGCCAACCTCGATTGCATTCGTCTGGGAATATGTGTCCGGGACGCACGTATCTGCAGCTAGTGCATTACTCCAACCAATGGCGCTGGACTGCCAGCCAGCTGACCCGGGATCTGCCATATCAAGCGCATGCGTCATCTAGACGCCATTCAGCTCGTCACAGGCTCCAAAGAGGATCAAACCTCGTGTATCCACACATTCATAGTACAGTCTCCGAAGCAGAACGTCGCGGACGCCCCACCACTTGCGCCGCTCATGGTGACTGCGCTCGGTCCGGGGACCGTGGCTGCAAGGGCGATGACGGTGCCGGCATACCGCCGCAGCCCCACAGGTACGCGCGCGAGGCGGTCGACGAGTGCGTCCATCGCCATCTCCGCATCGGCGCAACGGCAGATTATGTAGGGTGTGTCACAGTCCTCAAGCGTGACACTAAGGGCGGTCATTTCTGCGCTGCAGGAAGCGGAGAAGTTTCCAATGTCCGAGGGCAGCGTTGTGGAGGGGGTCACTGCCGCACATTCAGGCGGGAGTTGGGCGAGGGTGGTCGCATGCACGCTGTACGCCGGCGGCGGGAGCGAGTTGGCGAGGTCGAAGGAGCCGAGGTCAGCCTGCTGCGGAGCAAGGGACAGCGGTGTGGTTGCTTGGCAGCGAGCGAGCTCCACAAGAGAGAGCAGCAGAAGGAGCATATAGCTGCTCCCGGGCGGTTTCGAAGTGCCTTTGTACTTGGTGAGCTGATATAAAGCGTCATTAGGATTCCATCATTCGTGCATGTACGGGATGACCACATACCGGCGCAAGCAACTTGAAGTTCTGTGTCGTCGGCGTTGATAAACGCTCGTGCCGTGTGCGCCGACCGTATGGAATGGTTCCCCTCCCGCATCTCGGGCTCCCGAATCGTCACCGACCGGACCGCAGGCATGCGACACAATCGATGTGGGCGTTTGCGAGAAGCCTTCGCCGCATCGGATACGCGCGGCTTGAGTTAGTTGGTCGCACGGTGATGCGTGCAGATATCAGGAAGGCGATGCTTGGGCTTGGATGGCTGCCAGGACTGGACGACGACTCCGAGAGATGAGGGTTTGAGGTAAGGAATGTTGATGAATCAGATTGATGTCAGCCGCGTGATGGTGAGAACAGGCGGAGATTCTTCGGACGCCAAGGAGAAAGTTTAGTCAAGTGCAAGAACATTGTAGCGTCAATGCGTAGTATGTGAATCAGGGGGCTACGCGACTTGTCATCCAGTCATAAACCACCACCTCGAGCTCTGTAGATCTGAGTCAACATGTCTGAGATGAACCAACAACTCTTTGAACTTGACCAGAACTATGAAAGATGTCTTAGAAATCTTGGAAAAACCTTCCAAACTATTAACGAAATACTTAATCGATGGCGAACAATGATACATTTGATACTTCAACCCAATAGAATCTTGACAAATAAAAATGATAAATTGGCTACTCCCTAGGGCTAGTAGGCAAGCAATAAAATATTCACTTGCCCAGAGTGTTGCCCAACAATTTTCCCAGTTTTTGCCCGCCTATAGTGAAATCCCCTAATTTCAATTAACCTTTCTGTTGGGAAAGAAATTTTTGAATTTGCCCTGTGTATCAGAGTCTGGCAAATATTATACTAGAAAAACAATGGTATGGGTGTAGCATGGGTGGGTGCAAGACCATTCACAACAACTAGACAGGGCTGGGGCTATGCCCCAGCTTTGAACTTGAATGTTGCTTGGATAACATGAATTTCTAAACAACTAAAGAATAGCACACAGATGCCTTCTTAAATATCTGTTGCTAGTAGATGTTGAGTACAACCCAACAGTTCTAACTCCAAGTCACTAAACCTTGTATACTATTTCTCAATTTGTGTGCAATTTGAGAATATTGACTTGTAAATAAGCTTAGATACAACTTGTTCACAGTACTGGGTGCAAGATATCACTTAGATTTAACAGCAGTAACCCCAAAAATGGAAGTGTGGAGCAAAGCCAATGCTAAACATGTGTATACATTTACATGACATCTGCTTAATATAAGAGTAACAAGACCCTGCTATAGCATCTTACACCGGTCAACTTATTGCTATTTTCAAAAATAATGTCCGCGCGGAGAAAAAATAAATTTGGCAAAGTTTGAGGGGCAATCAGAGGGGTGACGTGACTTGTCCGCTTTTCGTCCGTGCCAGCGCATCCCCGTCTTGCTCCTGTCCCTCATGTCCACATACGACGACGGCGGCAGCGATTCGTTCGACCCCTACCAGGAAGAGCTGCCGCATAACTGGGACGGCACGCAGGAGGACAATCGGTATATCATTTCGCCGCGCAGGAGCCAGATGGACGACGGTGACAAGGACAACACGCGTCGCCAGCAGCCAGCCCAGGACCGGGACCGTGCGTGTGCTGCGCCCTCCCTCTATGCTGGAGACTGACCTGCCAATCTAGCCTCCCTCCACAATGATGGTCTCGGCCTCCGTGTCTTCGTTTCGTGGTTTCCGACGCACCCGGTGCTTGAACCTGGCCAGAAGTGTCGCGCCAACGCCCGCGAAGCCAGCCGCAGTCAACACGGACTTCTTCATGCACGAGGAAGAGCTGTTGGAGCATCTCATCGACGAGGCACTCAAGTCGTTGGGCGTCGTGGCATCCGCCCATCGCTTCAAAATGGTCGGCGGATTTTTGCGTGCACCCACATTCCCCCTCAAATACACCATCCCTGGGACCCAAGTCGAGGACCAAGCCCTCTCCACGGCAACACACTACAAAGCCATGATTACGGACGCAGACAAGAAGAAAGGCATTATCAAGCTCAAGATGATCGAGGCCGACCGTGTCGAGACGCCGCAGGAGAGTGGGACGGCTGCGGCCAAGACGAAAGAGGTGTGTTTGCACGCATATATCCACTCTCGCGTTTGCTGACTCCCGAGGCAGATAGATCCTGTCCACGAGGAGATTTTGGCCACCATCACGCGCATCCTGGCCAGCAACATCTGTAACGACCGCTCCTGCACTACGCGCTCCCTTTCTTCGCTAACGTGCTTTCAAGGTCGCGAAGAAGGATGGTGTCGATCTCAAGAACCCGCCTGCAGACGCCAAGGTGTTCTGGCCCGAGGGCCAAGCCGCAGACCTGGTTGCCGAATGATGCTGCTCGCGATCACACCCTTATCCAAAGCTATCGTCCCGGTGAGAGTGTATCGAGTCTTCCGAACGAACGGCTGCTGGACTCAGCAGCGGGTGCTCTTTGGAGATCTTCCGAAAAGGCGCGGGTATGTCCGGTCGTCCTTTGACATCTCGTCGATGAAGATAAACTGGCTCGGGTCGTATTCGGCCACGCGATAGATGTAGTCGGCCACCTGTTTCTCTGAGACTGCTCCGTAGCGGCCTTCTGGCAGCTGCTATAGCTACTTCTATGCAAAAGATGTGGACAATGGCTTTTGAGTTACAAATGTTACATTTATTAAAAGAGTAATTAATTATTTGAGAGGCTTGTAGAGCCCTATAGTGATGGGATCAATGCCTTTTATATATTGTTTATAATGTGGAACCATTTTTCATAGAGATCAATTGTTTTGATGATTGGATGGTGTTACATCAATGTGACATGTGATTACATCAATTTCCTTGCCCTGTATTGCAGACTGTTCCAAACTATATTACGAATCATCGGCCTGAAGAAAAGTGATTTCTATTGCCATATATGGTATTAGCTTAGTCATATCTATCAATTTGGCTCTTTAAATTAACATTTACTTTCCAGGCTTGTGACTTCTGGACAACTGTCCACATCTTTTGCATTACAGCTGTGGACAACAGTCCATATCTTTCTTGAAAGATGGGTTGCTTCTGGACCTTTTTGAGGTTGAATCAGGCCTTGAGAAGGGCGCGGTGGATGGTGGAGAGGCTGGCCGGGAGGTGACGATAACGGTGGAGGACCCTCTGGTATTCGGAAAGGATTAGGGTGGGCTGGTGGCATGCTCGGGCCATGAGGAGGTCGATGTCGCGTTGCACCAGCATGCTTGGACGCCCACGGCCGATGGCTGGGAGGTTGGCCGCGTCGCCAGTCGCACGCTTTTGAGCGACAGCCCGCCAGATGGTCCACGTCAACATCTGGCAGACATTGGCAATTTCGTCTCGGGTGTCGCATCCGCACTCCACCAGCCGGACGGCAATGTGATGGGCGTCGTCGGAGATGGTATGGAAGGTCATGGGTGGTGGGCAAGAAAGGGTGGATGTGGTGGACAAAGCCAAGACATGTCGTCACTGCTTGCGGCATACACCACTCGCGTCACCCCTGACTGACCATCCCGACGCTCCGCAAAATTTTATTTTTTCTCCCGCGCAGACATCATTTTTGAAAATAGCAATAAACTTAAAGTCAATCTAATCATCCAAAGCACCTACTAATTCCACTTATCCTTTGAATTCCTTTCATATTAGAATGAACAGCCCCGGGGGCTGCACTTTCTAATATGAAGGGATGACCCTAAATGCCCTATGCCGCAACAAATACCCCAATAATTCTGCTCTAAGTTCTCAAGTTCTCCAGCACGAAGTCCAAGGGGGGGTCAAGATCCTTATCAGGCACATAGGGTGGGGGCGAGGGGGGCTCCCTAGGGGTAGCAATCAAACTTTTTGTATAAAGATTCTTTGCAGCAAATAGAGGTCCATATCCATTAAAAATATATAACACTCACTGTATGTTACCCTATTGCTCACGTTATGCCCCCATATATGAATAATTCAAGATTCTTGGGCTTAGATAGGTGCAGGGTGATATCTTGTCACATTGTTGTCATCTAGTTATTGATAGCAGGTGACCATTCTTAGCTCAGTCATAGCTTAAAGAGCTGAAAGTGAGTCTATAAAGATATATATATATATATGTATTCATGCGAAGTTTGTCTAAAATGTCGATTTCTGTGCCGCCTTTGATCCCATCATTGGTCACCTGATTCAAGATCTTATCTTATCGTGGGAATATATTACCCAATATAGTAAGGGAGGGGTCCTGGAGGGTTGGGAAAAAAGAAATCCGACCCTATATCCGGGATTCGAATCTTGAACCCCCCTTGGCTAAGTCCCTTCTATGCTGCTAATATTGCAATAACTCAATGCTGTTTAGTAAGTTACTATGACATACATGATGATGATAGTCACACTTTCTCTACTAGTCACATATAAGCAGAAACTTCACAGTATACTGTATGAGAAGGTCAGTGTTACAATGTTACATAGTATGACATGTGTGACAAAATTCCTGAAAAGGAAAAATTGTCAGTTGATAATTATAAATAACTTGCACACTGTGGAACCCAGACAACCAGATGTGACACTGGTATGTGAGGCCATAAAGAAGCTATTACATAATTCTCTCCAAACTTGGGTTGAAGTCAGTGCCCAGGTCATGCTGCTACATTTGTCACATAGTTCGAAAAAGGATTTTTTTTTTGCTGTTTGACAGTACAATCATCAGTGAATGTCACAGAATGTCACAAATATCAATGTTGTGTATTTTGACTATACAAACAACTTTTATGAAATGACTTATAGTCTCAGCTGAATGATTATGCTGGCTCTAGTTAATCATTACCTGATCTATATCTGATCTAGTAATATCTCGTGAAGTAGACAACTTAAATAAGTGATTGAAGCACTCTCAAGAAAACCTAAATAATAAGATTAATAGCCTTGATAATAAAATGTCATCAATATACCTGGCCGTCTATTTTAATTAGAAGAGATAATATAAAAAGCTCTATGCTGCAATAAAGGGGGCTATAAAACTGCAATATCTCTCAGACTCCAGGCTCTAAGTTATTTCTTCTGTTATCATAGAAGGTCAGTATGATATTTTATAACTGATATGATACTAAGATATAGTAAATTATTAATAATCTTATATTAACAACTATAATATGTGTCCTATCTATTACCTACTGTAAATTGTCAGGTTTACTTTAACAACAAGATGTGACCCTAGAATAGAACACTGGTATGTAACATTTAAGGTTTGTTACACATAGCTATATTATACTGTACATATTAATAACAATAGCAAACAGTTCATCATATATACTTTATTTGCAACTATGTTCTTATGTCTTTATTCTGAAAGTATCAGTGGAAACTTGCTTACCAGTTCTTACTCTGTAAATAGTTACTATTTTCATCTCTAAAGCTGGAACTTAAGGTCTTCTAAGTTTTATTAGTAGGAAGATCTGAATTTTCTCTACACGCTCTTACACCGAGGACAGAATTACACTATTGGCCTACAGCCTGGATTCCGGGTCTTTCCTGGCTTAGAACTCAAAACTCTTAAGGCTGATGTTTTTATTCTAGCTTTTCTTTGGTTTCTTAGCAATGCTCTGCAAGTGCATCCTTGGGCTTATAATCCTATAGTAGTGTTTAGCTTTATCTCTAAATCTTCCTTTGAATTTAATTAGAAAGCTTGGATCTGTCTACATCTATCAGGTCTTAATTATTCTGTAGGCACTTGTTATTTTAAACTTTCATCTATACTTACTTACCTACAGAAATCAATGCAGCTTATTCGGAAGAACTTTTAAGGTCACGATTTCAATTTTGCTTATATATACTGGAGGCAATAGCATTTAGTTTTATATAGGTTTTGCTGTAGTCTTGATGTCTTAGCATTTGAACTATAAGCTGTATAAGCATAGTTAACAGAAAACAGCACAGTCTGAGAAAAAAAATTAGTCTATAATGCTCTAGTAAAAGCCTATACCTAGTACAGCAACGGATATAACTAAATAGCCAACCCCTCTAAACCTACATTGTTACAGCTGTTTCTAAAAGAAGAGCTGTTACCCTAACTATGGATAATGTAATCATAGTGTCTGTAATCCTGCAGCCCTTAACGAGGTACAATAATCCACAATTGAGTTATGCCCTCGGCTTCACTTGCCTGCTTAGCATCTAGAACTTTTGCATCTACAAGTTGTCTGCATCTGCAGCCACACTATACATAAGGAAAAACTTACTGTATCTGTATCACTTCTTTTACTATATTAACCACCCCTTGTGTCAGCCTTATAGGTTAGGATTTAGCAGGTCAGCTGACAAGAGCAGAGAGGGTGGTGCCAAATTAAATTAGATTTTAAAAAGGACATTACTTTTAGATACATGTAGACAGGTTACACAAGTGAGCTATAAAGAAAATAAGCCCTTGATATCAGCCAGATGGAGAACACACCAAATAAAATTTACTCCCAATTCTCTTTACCTTTGGAGTTTTTCCTGATATAGTAATCATATCAGTTTTGAATCGCTATAGGATTGTGAACAAAGACATGAAAGGATGAATTGCCTTGGGAGTCTGTCGAATATTATACTGGAAACACTTAGTTTTCTTATGGTATCTAATAACATAGTATAAGTTTTTGTGGTATTGGTCTCTTTAGGCTGTGACAAATTGATATCCGCCAGCTGCCATTGGATATACGAAGAGCTAGCCACTAGCAAATTTTAGTAGGAAACATCTAGAGCCCAAAAGTCGTTCTCTGCGGTAGGTTCATCACCATTACAACTGGGGACAAAACGTGAAACTCACGATCGACCTCCTTCCGTCGCTTCCTCTCCAGGAAATGCTCCGCCGTAGTCCAGAAATTCGGGGTTGTGAAGACACCCTCCGCCCAGTGCTGATACGAGCACATGACGAATCGTGGGTCCCGCAAAGATTCCGGCACTGCGCCGACTGTCGCACGAGTCCGCGCGAGACTCGGCGTGCGTGCGCTGCGGTCGTGGTTGAGCACGACAAGAAGTTGCAGCCGCGCGCAACTCTGGAGGAGACCCACCAGTGGGGCTGCAATCTCCGCGATCGCCTCGAAGTGGCTTATCGCGAGGTGGGTGAGACATGGAAGGTGCGGTAGCACAGCAAGCACTAGCGCGGCAGCGGCAGACTCATCTGCGAGCGGCTCAAAGAGGTCGAGGTGCGTGAGCCGTTTGCAGAATGAGTGCGTTCTGACGCCGTGGGCCGGCAGAAGATCGCCCGGTGCGGGCACGGTGGAAGGGTGGATCGGGAGAATGTCCGTCAGGAAGCCGGAGAAGTGAGTCAGCTGCAGTTTTGAGAGGAGCGGGAGGAGCCCGGCGGATGCGATGGTGCCGTGCACCGCGACAGCGGTCGTCCCCGTGCACAGGGCAAATGTGGACAGTGTGTTGTCCGCGTCCAGGTCCCAGTTGTTTTCCTCATACAGCACAAGTCGGCGGACAGCGCTGGCGATAAACGCTGGAGACTTAGCGCGGAGTGCCTTGAACTGCCCGGCGTCCGCGGGCGTCAGCCCGACGTGCAACGTGCGGTAAAGAAGCGGCTCGAGCCTGGGCAGCCATCAGCGTCGGGTGACGATGTCCGGGTGGCGTACCAAACCAAGACACGCCGGGCGACGAGCAGCAGTGTCGGTATCCGCTCGGCGTTCATAAGAGCGGTCGTCTCAAAGATTTCACGCTCCAGCTCGACAGGTAGCCTGTCCACAGACATGGTGGCGGAAGACAAGCCGTGGCGCTGAGGTAAGTCCTCGGCGTGAGTCGCGTGACACCGAAATTATTCTATAGTAGTACTTATTGAACTGCTGCTTCAACTGCATAGCTCCTTTATGACTATTTGCATATTCAGCTGGGGCGTGTAGTTTAAGTATTATGCTATAATCATCGTTTTTTACATTTGATCTTTTGAAACCATAGCTTTCAAAATAGATAATTCTAGAATAATTTATATACTGACCTATTTTAATCAATTCGACAGTCACGCGTCACACGCACCTTATTTTGACGAATATTTTTCGTCAGTCACACATGGAGGGCAAAGTTTCGCCCCAAATCCGTCTTAAAAAGGTAATTTTCCGGCCGTTCCGGCGCCTCCGGCGCCGAAATTCCCTAATAGGGAAGAACTGACGAATTCTCATGTTCGTCAGACATGTCACGGCCGTCGGGGCGTGTCGAATTGATTAAAATACGACAGTATTCAAGGATATTTCTGCTGACCAGCACAATGTTGTTTCTGCCAAGGATAAAAAGGCTCATTTTGATACCAACCTAAGTATGTACAATAAAATTCAGCATCTTCCACAAACAGTAGCATTCCCTGTGCTTCTACAGAATATCGACATCCTCCAACCCGACCCCAGCGCCAAAGAGCCCAAACCGCGTCGGCGACCACGGGACCGCTTCGCCGACCCCGATCGCCCACGCGTGGTCCACGACGGCGGGCGCGGGCCGCGGCGCCGGAACCAGCATCCGCCGCCGCGCACGGCCACCGCCCTCGGAAACGGTGTGCGCACGCCGATGCCGCGATGTACCCGGCTTTCTATCTGCCCCTGGACGCTTTCCCTTTCCCCGCGGGTCGGAGGTGTACCTAACGTCGTGCGGGGCCCAGAGAACGCTCCCCGCGGCCACGCCGGGGCGACCGCTCCCATCGCCGGTGGATTGGGCGAGGGAGGCGAGGAACTCCGCCGACAGGGCGGGGAGCGCGAGCTGCGCGAGTGTCGGCGCGTGATCGTGATCTGACCGCTCATGGCCGCCCGCCGCGTCGCCTGTGACGCCAATTGTGCGTGCCCGCGGCCGCCGGCGCTGCGGGCCGGGATCGGGACCGGGCTGGACAGGGGCTGCGACGGGCGGAGCGGCATCGGCACCGGGCAGCGGTGCGCCGGCCCGGCGGAACTCGGGCGAGCTAAGGACTGCGTCCGCGAACGACTCCGTCGGCGCGGGGAGCTCGGGCAGGACGGGCGAGAGCACTAGTGGGGACAGCGCCGGCGCTGGTTCGCGGCTCGGCTTCGGCTGCTGCTGCGTTTGGGGTACTGCGACAGAGGGCGGTTCTGTAAGCATGCTGATGATGGTTTTTGGGCTGGGGGCGGAGATGCTGCTGGAGGAGAGACTGCTCTCGGACCCAGACGACGAGAGGGATGTGTCGCTCTCGAAGTCCCATTTTTCCTCCGGCTCTTCAAGTTCAAGTTTTCCACCGGCATCAGCATCGATATGCTGCTTTTCTTCCGCATCGACTTCTGCTTCTTCATTCTCCCGATTCAACATCTCGACTGCATCCTCCATCCCTTCTGCGATAGTCTCCAACCGCAACACCCTTGACCCATGGACTCCATTTACGTGCCCTTTTGCGCAAAGATGCTTTTCGGCCCCCTTGTCGACAGCCTTCTTGATTGCAATCTCTTCCGAGTCAGGTTCTTGCTCCCCGTCGACGCCATCCTCAAATCGCCTCTCTTCTTCCTCCTCCTGGTCACTCGCGGGCACCCCGTTGACTACATTTCCGTAGCCTCCCGCGCAAAGGCCCTGATGCTTGTCGTCAACAACTTTCTGGATCCCAATTTCTTGAGGTTCTTGCTCCCCGTCGGCGGCTCCCTCATCCCGATCCTCTTCAGGATACTTGTCCTCCCCATCGTTTTCAACTTCACCCCCACCTCTGACCCCAAATAGCCTCTCTCCCTCCACCCCCTCCTCACTCGCGGGATACTCGTCCTCCGACACAATAACATACAACAGCGCCGGAAACAGGCCCCTCGCCAAATCCTCCACGCTCGAATCGTCGCGCTGCCGGATCACTTCGAACTCGCCGTCCATGTCGAGCCCAAGCACGGCGCCGAACGAGACATCGAGCGCGGGGAAGCCGGCAGGGCGTGGCAAGGATTCGGAATCGCCATGTTCGCCGTCAACGTCATGGCAAGAATCTTGTCGCATGGAATTGTGCTGCAGCAATACGGAAGCCAACGAATCAGTGTCCGGGGCTAAAATCGAGGACGACACAGATTCGGATACCGATTCCGCTGCGTTGCAGACTACCCGAGTGGCGGATACTGGCGAGAGAAGCCTGAGCGTGTCATCCTCTGCCCCGTCAGATTCGCCCTCCTCGCCCGACAGAGCAGACGGCAGTAAAGAGGCAGAGAAACTGGAGTTTCCCGTGGTCGGGGGGAGCGGGGAGGAACGACCGTCTGAGGCGCTGGTCGCACTGGTAGACTGTATGCCATGCTCCGGGCTGTGAGTGCTGGCGGGCCGCACGGTGCTCGTGGCGTCCTCCCCATCGGAATCCCACTCCCAAGGCGAATCATACCGTGCGCTGCTGGGGCCATCCATAGACGTATCGGCCACGCCCGGAGCGTCATGGTCGTTTTGGGTGTCGGGCCACAGCTGGGACAGGGGCAATCTTCGTCGACGCGGCGGCACAGTATTCACGCGGGGGGCGTCATCGCTGGCCCTGTTTATCAATTAGCGACACAGACATAGTACGCAGCAAGGTAACGCACAGCTCCCGCGGGTACTCCGCGTCTGGGCTGACCAACAGCCTGCGACTCATAGTACCCATCGGCAAGTTGGACGTGTAGGGCACGAGCACCTCCTCGGCGAGCGTCGCAGGGTCGCAGCTGACAACCTCGGGCAGGACGTGATACTGTCTGAGTGCTTGAGTGCCGGATATAACTTGAAAAGGGCCACGCACAGCGATATCGACCCTTGGTGGGCTTTTTGCAGCCTGGGCGTCAGCCTGGCGCTCGTCTATTGTTGCACAAGCAGCCGAAGACGTAGATGCTAGGACAGCAGCGGTGGCCAAATTCGAGAGCTCCTGCCCGGTTAGCGGGAAACCACCCGGCATCGAGGGGCAGGTGTGCGGACATCCAGCCATCGTCGTCGTGGTAGATGAAAAAGAACAAGGGCAGGCCGGCGCCTAACGGACGGGGGAAGCTTGTTCGAGCTGCGGATGCATCAGCGAAGCCAGCTCGAGCCTTTTGGGCGGCGCAAAAGCAGGACGTAAGAGGCGCGGGCCGTGACGCGTCGCATTCTCACGGTCACGAGTTTCGGCATCACTGAATCAACAATTCCTCCCGATGGAAGTAGTCGATAAGGATCGTATATTGGCGTGTATTACATAGTGGATGAGGCGTTGTATGTCATGAATCCTACTTTCTGTCCCCCACCTCAAGGCTTTCCATCCAGCCCCGATGTTGGCGCTGTGCCATACCCACCCGCGGGCCCGGCCGTATACGACGTCACCGTACCAGACCCGCTCCCGCTCCCGCTTCCTGACACACAAATCAGCGCTTATCTCCTATGCTAGCAACGATGCACGCACCACCCCACGGCCATATCCCGAGCTTCCTTGCAGCGCCAGCCATCTCCGCCTGGCCCGCCCGCGCGATGTCGTGGTGCTTCCGCTCACCACTACGCGTGACATCGTCGACCACGCCGAGGAGTGTCCCGCGGAGCTGCTCGCCCACACCGTGGACCAGCTCAAGCACCGTCCTGGCGCTGTGTTAGTAGCCACGTCGTCCAGATACAGTGGAGACGCACCAGACGCTCGCGCTGCTGCCAGTTTCTGTGCCAGTGATGGGCCGCGTGGAACGGTCGACGGGCGGCGGGGTGGGAGACGAGGAGAGCAGGCGTGTGTTCTCGTTGCCGCTTGGTTGTGGTGCCATCGTAATGCAAGTATTATGCTAGTGCTGGTGGTGTGGAGTCAAGAGGCGAAGCGCAGATCCCGCACATGACATCATGATCATGATTCATGATCCCTTCGGATTGCTATCCGTGAAAACCAATAGCTAAAATCTGAAGGGAGGGTTTTCTTTTTTGAACACTTCTAGGTAAGTTAGAATGAATTATGAGGGTGAAAGTGGGTGCCAGTGAAGTCTGGTCAGTGGTTAGTAGATTCTGTAACATGCTCAGGAGAGTTTAATTATAGTAAAGAGGGTGTGTCTCGTTATTGCACTTATTATATCCTTTATTCCCTTTACCTCTGGTGCTACTTTTAGTGCTCCCAGCCCTCTCAATCTTTTTAAGTACCAGGCAGGCTAAAATTGCTTATGCTCTTTATCATAAGCAGAAGGGACAGGTAAGTCAGGCTTCCTTTCTTGGTTGTCTGTACTCAGTCTCCTTGTGCAATCTTAATCCTCTAGGTGCCACTAGTTACCTAGAGTCCCTACTGTTATCTATGCCTTGTGGGACCTGCATTAAGTTTAAACAAGTGCACAGTTGCCTGTATGAGCCAATATGGTGAGCTTTTATTGCTTTAAAAAAAAGACTCTAAGTACCTCTTTCCACTTCTTCTTATACTTTCCAGGGAAGATAGCAGACACCAGCTGCTTATGGGCCAGCATCGCCCAGCCCATGCCCCTTTCAATCTTTCATCCTTTCAGGGTACTGCCATTGGGCTCCTTGCCCTACTACCAATAAATCATGGTTGCCTAGGTCAAAAGTTGCAGTCAGTATCTATCCAAGTTTAAGCTGCCTCAGTTGACCATTCCTCTAGAGTTCCAATAAAATGATAAGGTACTGCTACTAGGTAGGGATTTTAGTATCATTGCGGTGATATAGACTACATAGTGAATACACCGAATAGTGTTGGTTAAAATGACCAAGTCTCTCTTACATCTCATTCAAGCAGAGCATGGCAAGGGGCTAGTAGGCAATAATGATAAGCAAAAATTAAATAGAAATAGATCTAAGACAGGTTGCTATAATAGACTTAGCAAAGGCAAAGACAAGTATGACTAGTCACTCATCAGTTATGATTAGAATTAGCCTTAGATATGTATCTAGAAATTACTGACTAATAGTTTTAAAAGGATATTGACTAGTTCCCTAGCTTTTATCTTTATTTACACTAACCTTCTCTCTTTAACAATCTCAGCTGCTTAGACAATCTATAGACCAACTACCTTTAACATTAAAAGACCCTAACCCAGCCTCAGGCACTACAGGAATTTAGCAAAAGGGTAGGAGAAAGACAGATTAAGTAAGATTGGTATTTAAAGTTAAATCTCTTTACTATCTATAGCAGTTAGCAAATCTCCTGCTGAGATTTGTCTGCCATTCCCTGAAGATTATGAAAGTGTAAAGGTTTCTCCCCTGCAAGTTCTGAAACAATTACCATCAAAGTACTAGAACAGTTTAGGCATACCAATGTAACTCTGCTACCTACTATAGGATGCTCAAGCCTATAAAGATAACTGGCACAGGGCAAGTAGCTGGAGCTAATGTGCTGCTATGGCTGATAGGCTAACCACAGTCCGGTAAGCTTTCTAAGTTAAGATGAATAAATAGTAGAACACTAAAGCTTTAATACAAAACATACTAGGGTCTTAGTTGCTTAATAAGTGTAGGATGAAGATTGAGTTTAACAGTAGGCCTAGTGCTGATGCACTTCCCCTGAGTGCTAGTACAGCTCTAGCTCATATTTAAAACCTAATCCATACTCTTAACAGTAAAAATAAAAACCTGGTGTTCTTGAAGTTATAACTGCAGGCATAACAATATCCTCTAGCATGTTCAGTGCTATAATACTAAAATTATAAGCACTATTCTAGGGTGAAGTATAAAATGTCCTTAAAGAATGTCTGTCTTAGTGCGACTTAAATGAGCATGTTTAGATAACACTTTTTATTTAAGGTGTAGGCTTCTTTATACTATCTATAAGAAGAGTAAATCTTCTACTAAAGGTGTTCAACTCACCAAAGAAATTTCTGTACTTAACATACTTACCCTGATAGCATGTTGGATGTCTTGCCATTACTTTAGTTTCAACATAATACCAATATAATCAATAAAGAATATTAATAAATGCAAGGTCTAGATCATAGATGCATTGCTCCTTCATGATGCTTCATCTATAATTCAAACTAACTATCTTCTTTAAAGCTCTTCCAGCGCGATAAAGGTCTGTTGACAGCTTTTATCTTGTGCAAAACTAACTTTCCTAGCAGCCTATAATAAATAAGAAGCCTAAGGTTATAGATATGGATAAAGAAAAGAGTTAAACTAATGTGTGTGGTCTTGCACTTTTACTTATATCATTACTAACTTAATTAGATGTAAACTGGGCATGTTAAGAAGGTTAGGAAAGCATTAACACTACTAACAAATACAATAAGCTTCTCTTTCTTTATATTTAGTTATCTTATTTATCCTTACAAGGCAAAACAAGAAGTGGCCAGGGCAGAATGGGCAATATGAAGAAAGAGAAAGTTAAGAACTACTAATTCTATCTGCGCTTTATGCCAATCAAGGGCAGACAGGCCATAAGAGATGCTATAACAAAGACTCTATTCCTTTACCCTTAACAGTTATATTAGCAGTTTATAAAGTTAACAAAAGGTATACAGATAAGATATTTCAGCAACACAATTAAGAAAATAGTTAAAGCAGCAGCTACTTTCTAAAAGAGCTATAATGATATTTTGTATTGTTTTGATGCAACCAGCAGGTGCTGAAACATTTAAGACACCCTAAAAACTTAGTCATGTTTGCTTCCACCTTATTAACAGACAAGCCTACTAACAAATTGGAGAAGTGTTTGTGCTTTAAAATCTGCAACAGCTGTAAAGCACTGCTTGCAGCTGATACCAACCATATTACACATAAATGGAGACTGCGACGGCGCTGGACCGCTAACTCCACAATAGAGGCCGGACTTGCCGCCGGAGCACGGGCTGCAAATGGTGCAGGCCCGAGTCCCGGCTCAGCCGCAGATGGCGCCAGCACTGGCTCCAACTTGGACTCGCTATCCAATTCGATTGGCTGTGCAGGTCCCGACTGCGAATCCATTTCAGACTCGCTATCCACCTCGATCGGCTGTGCTAAAGCCGGCGCCAGCGTTTTGAAGGCGGTGGCCAATGCCGCTTGAGGGCGCGATGGATGGGAGCTGAAGTCCCTGTCCGTCAGTGATGACTGGTTGGCCCACGCAGCACGGTATTGCCGCTGAGTCCGGTCCGACTTCGACATAACGTCGGATCCTTTGACATAAGGACCTGTGGAATGGTGTGCAACGGAAAGACAAAAGCTCGGACACACACCTCGAACCTTCCGCCGCTTTCCTGCACTAGCAAGCTTCCGCCGCATGTCGCAGACAGGAAGCCAATCAGGATCTTCATCATCCGAAAAGGCTTCGAGCAGCTCTTGTGTCAAGTCGGGGTCTTCCAGTGTTTCGTCAGCCGATGACTGCTCAGAGTCAACATCAGAGCGTCAGAGGCAGCGTCTTCAAGCCGCCAGTCAATCTTGTGGCTGTCAAAATGCACTCTGATTGTGAACGAGGTATCATCGTCATCACTAGCGGCATCCGGTGTCACAGGGCGCGTTGGTGCAGGTGATGGTGCAGTAGAGGAGTGGGGAGACTGGGTTGTTGGGGGGTTGCTGCTGCTGAGGAGTCCGATGTAGACTGGTTCCGCAAACCAATAAGATTGTGTTTAAGCTTCTTCTTTGGCGGCATGGTGGGTGAATGGAAAGAAAGGTATATCAAGCTGTCACATAATAAAACTGAAGTACAGGAGTGTAGAGTATAAGTATTTATACTAAGTGGTAAACATAAGGCATGTGACCTTGTAGGGAGATCTGATATTGTCTGCAGGATCTCCCTGTGGGTTAAGTTCAAAGGCATAGTAAGTAAGGAGAACAAGAAGACATACACGAGGCAAAGGAAACAAGGCAAACACCTAAAGGATATAAGTAAACAAACCAAAATCTAAATGGGCAAAGATTCGAGTTGATAGTTGCCGAACAGGTCCGAGGGAGTCTGCATGCAGATTGACTGTTTAAAGGGAAACACTCAGATACCTTTATTGTGTCAGAACCCTGTTGCGCTCCCAAACCATGGGTAAACCCATACCCGTACCCGCGGGTATGAGTACTGTGGCTGTGCGGGTACGGGTGCGGGTAGGCCCTTGGATACCCGTGGGTATACCCGTGCCATTCCCTAAGGATAACCTTGGAGTGTCCAAAGATGCACGGAATATAACACATGTGGAGATTCATTGATGCATATACTGAGGGCCTTGATGCCAAGGACATGTAGAAAAAGGTGAAGGAATTTTTAAGCAGTGGGTACAAATTATATTGGCACATTCCTAAGCATATGGCTGCAGCTATAAATGTATAGAAGCTAGTATAATAGATACTCTAAATGTAGAATAATAAGTAGAATTTTCCCCCGATTTTTCCTCATTTTTGTGCAGCTTTTATCACGTGATTAGATAAGCAATAATAAATCACATGAATGCTAAATTTGGTTCTCCCTCAGTTTTGAGTATTTTGTTAATTGCTCTAGCTAGTCTCTTTGGAATCCTAATGGCTTGCTTTTTTGCTAAGTAACTAAGAATTTAAATAAAAACTGGGGGACTAATATTGCTTGTCACTTTTTGGTTGTGACTAAGTGAATTGTACTATACATGATGCTGAATTATCTTTACATCAAGAAATGTCTAAAAGAACTCCTGGTAGTAAAGGGCAGAAAAACAAGATTCTTTAAATAATGTTTTCATTGAGAACACCTCTTTATATCCCTACAATTGGCACCTTGGTCCTTGGGTTTGTGAAAGTTAAGATGCCAACTTTTATACTAGGATTTCTGCCGAATAATGGGCCTCAGAGTAGGATTTATTTATAATAAATAGCAGACAAGAAAGATATATATATTAACAACTTCAAAAGTTACTAAATAAAACTCTGAGAAAGTCAACTTGATTTGTAAGAAATTGGGATATATGTTCAGTTATAAGATTAGTCTTAACTTAAAGTCAATCTTAGCTGACAATTTTGTGCCTATGATTTGTAGCAAATAGACATACCAAATTTGCCACAGTATATCAGACTATAATCAAAAAATCAGGGATAGCACCAGTGTGACCAATTGCCATTATATATGACAAGTCCCCCTTATATATATATGGGATAATAACAATACAGCACTATTTTTTGCTAATAATTCCACTTGAACAAGGTGCACTCCACAAAACATGGTCTGGAAGGTGATAGTCACAATATAATTATGGTATATTTGATACTCCAATACAGACCCTGATTTCTTGTAAATCAGATCTATTGTTTGCAACTTTTATTGTATATCAAGCAAAGCAGTAAAAAAGGCTATGGTTTTGGACTACTGAGTGCTTCTTATATATAAACTCTGCTTCGGGCCCCATTTTTTTCTTGGCTAAAACACTGGTGTGTTTTGTGGAAATGGCAATAAAATTTGCTTGAGGAGGTATGAATATGTGCCTCAGTGCCAAACTGCTCATGTTCTAAGTCACCGCCCGAGTTCGGCTGACGAATCCAGAGTCATTGCACGTCATAATGCTTCATCATCAGTGGATCGTCACGCGTTACCGTCACCGTGACTGTCACTGTCACCTTTCCCACTTTGCCCCGTCCACGACAAGGAAGCGTGCTTGGATAGCCATATCCATCCGCCCGCCCTACCAGTGCGCTCACGTCCGCTCTCCTTTCTCGCCTACCCTTCCGGTGCGTTCGCGTCCACGGTCCTCTCTCCCGCTCTCACTCGCTGACCGTGTGGATCCGTTTAGATACACACCTTTACGGTCTTTCAGTACACCTAGACAACGTTTCCCTCCCGTCCAGCGCGTATGTGCTGTGCCACACTCTTTTCAAAGCTCATGCGCTGCCACAGCATGTCCTCGGACTATGAATACTCGGATGACGACGTGGACAACGTCTTTGACGACGACGAGCTAATGGCGGATGGCGGTGAGTGGTCGTTGAATCCACCCACTACAGCGTCCTGAAGCACATTCTAGACTCCGACGGCGACGATGGCATGGAGATGGACGACTTCAAAGTGGTGCCCAAGGCCACACGCAAAGCTTATGAGCTCGAGTATGACTCGCTCTCCCAGCCGGCAGTGGAGAAGCTCATGGAGAAGGACGTCGAATACATCCGCGGCATTCTTGGGGTTGACGACAACACCGCGAGCTTGTTGCTGAGGCACATGGGCTGGAACAAGGAGCGCCTTATCGAGAAGTACATGGACAACGCCAACAAAACCCTTGTTGCTGCAGGTGTCATACGCCCCGAACCCGAGGCTGTAAAGCCCAGTAAACGACCCATCACGCGCCGCGCAACGAAACAACGTTCCCCATCGCCGCCGAAGTCAAGCGGGTCATTTACCTGCTCTATTTGTTTTGACGACGCTCCCGGCCTTACTCCCCTCTCCCTCGAATGCGGACATGCTGCCTGTAGCGGCTGCTGGGAAGCATATATCACCTCCAAGATCCGAGACGAGGCAGAGCATGTTTGTCGGTGTATGGCGGAGGGTTGTGGGCTTGTGGCTCCCGACTCGTTCATTCGGGGGGCTATAGACGAGGACGGCTTCATTCGCTTCCAGGAGCTCCTTGTCCGGCATTTCGTGGGCTGCAACAAGAACCTCAAATTCTGCCCCTACCCTTCATGCACCAATACTGTGTCCTGTCCGTCAGGCGCGTCAAAGTCGTCCCTCACGACCGTTGTCCCGATCGTTTCGTGTGGCGCCAGGGGGCTGGCCAGCGACGGAGCACCGTTGTCGCAGAGCCAAGAGCTTGTCAAACGGGCGACAGGCAAGGAGCACAAGTTTTGCTTTGGTTGTGTTATCGACAGCGACCATCGCCCAGTCGTTTGTGCAGTAGCAACACTGTGGCTGAAGAAGTGCCGCGATGACAGCGAGACGGCGAATTGGATCAAGAGCAACACGAAGGAATGCCCCAAATGTGTGAGCACGATAGAGAAGAACGGAGGGTGCAAGTGCGTGGCTGTCTTTTCTTTTCCCTTCGCGCGTGCTGACAGACTGTTAGCCACATGACATGCAAGAAGTGCAAACACGAGTTTTGCTGGGTGTGTATGGGCCCATGGTCTGAGCACGGAACTGCGTGGTACTCTTGCAACCGGTACGACGAAGAGGCCGGCGTCAATGCGCGCGATGCGCAAAGCAAGAGCCGCGCTAGCCTTGAACGCTACCTTCACGTATGTCCCCACACGCCCGCCGTCTTTCATTCACCCATATCGTGCTAGTACTACAACCGGTGGGCCAACCACGAGCAGAGCGCTAAGCTCGCGCAGGACCTATTCGCCAAGACGGAGAAAAAGATGGAGGAGATGCAGATCACGTCGACATTGACGTGGATCGAGGTGCAGTTCATGAAGAAGGCCGCGGAGGAGCTGGACAAGTGCCGCGTGACGCTTAAATGGACGTATGCAATGGCGTACTACCTCGCGAAGGGGAACCAGAAGGAGCTGTTTGAGGACAACCAACGCGATCTCGAGCGTGCCGTAGAGGACCTGAGCGAGCTGCTCGAGTCGCCAATCGAACCGGAAAATATTCCGGCACTAAGGCAGAAGGTCACGGACAAGACGGTAAGTATCTACTGTATTTTCCCATTCTTTTTTACTGACTGTTCGTAGGTCTATGTCCAGAAGCGGAATGACATCGTGCTCGAAGATACGGCTGAGGGCTTCGTCGAGGGCCGCTGGGCGTGGAATGTCTCTGTAGATGGATTTGAGGCGCCAGCGGCGGAGCCGGATACTGCGCTTTGAGTGGCGTGTGAGGAGGAGGCTGAAGCGCACGACCATAAAGGAAATGCATTAAAGTAAATCGATAATTGTCTGGACCATACTACATCTGTATCCCTTTGCTCTCTCGTTGAAAATGAATGTGTAATAGTTACGAATTGGGTTTTCGGGCGAAGCGTTTGGGGGTATAAGTATGGGGGCAGCGGCCTATCTCTCCTCGGTCTTTCCTGCCGTGTTTCATACAAGTTATATCTTGCCTGCGGAAGTGCTCGGCGGGAACAACATTGTGTGTCGCGCGACTTCTTTATTAACGACGACCATTAACAATAAGCATAGTGAAAGTATGATAATTAAAGCCTCAAATCGATATCCCTCCCGGGCCCTGTCGACAGAGTCGACAATGTCACGAATTATTCACCAGCGCGCCAACGACTTAACGGCGCACCGGCTACAATAGCTCTTTGGCGCCGTTTCCGGGTCTAAGGAAAGGGCGTCCGCATCATGCCGATACGGCCGAGTAGGCAATTGCATGTCAGGATTGCCACTGGCAGAGTAATACCAACCGACAGCTTCTGTCAGGAAGCTACTGGGCTGATGACGGGCCGAGCTATTGCTGTCGGAAATGGGAGTGTCAACTTGAAAGCACTGCGAGGACTGGTCGACAGTTGTAGCTGCGCCGCATGGCCAGCTTTGGACTGCCGCCAGATGGAGGAGAGGCACCGTCGGCACCCCACTTTCCGGCTCCGAGGCGGGTGTATCCAAGGAGGCCATCACAGTGTGAAAGCTCACATCGGCATCCTCCCAACAAAAGCCCACATAGAAATCCCGGGCCGAGTCTGCGAGGCCAAGCCCGACGCCGCTTGTTCGTGGCGCCGCCGTGACAGGTATGCGGTAAGTTCTGCGGCGCCGGATCCGACTTCGGGACGACCCCAAACCCTGCAGGTCCGCACCTCTGGCAGATGCCTTGGCACGATCACCAGGGCTGCTGCCCGGCGTCCGCCGGCCATGCTGATGGCTCGCCCGGGGCACCGGCTCGTACGCGCATGTGCGGCCGGTGATGCGGCAGCGCAGGCATTGCTGAGTCTGCGAGTCCGTCATACACTGTGACTCGTAATTAGTTAGCTATATATTATATGTGCCAGGCTCAGGCTGCAGCTCGCCTTAATTTTGCGGCTGCGGCAATGCGTGCACGCGCGCGAGACGCGGGAAGGGACCTCGGAGTCATGGTAATACGCGATGTTCTTCTCCAGCGGCGCGGGGAGAGTTTCCGCCTGTGTGTTGAACACATCGAAAAGGGGGGAGCTCATGTTGCAGTGCTGTGGATGCTGGATGACTGGGAATGCGCGTGGCTCTTATAGGCGGTAAGGAGCTTCTGATGCACAGGCGTTTCTGGTGTTCGGGAAGACGGGCATTCAACTACTAGTACTAGGCACATCTTCTCATCATCTGTTACTGCGAGCCAGTGGAGTTAAGCCTAGCCACAACGTGTAGCCACAACAACTGTGCGTGTACAAACCACGTCACCATCGCCAAGACATGGCAGGTGATTGAGGAGACCAAGAAGACAAGTGTGAGCTAAGTGTTATTGAAGTGTTAGCTTGGTGGCAGCTCAACTCATTCTATATGAACTCCACACCTAATTAGTACTAAATATGATTATGTTATTCTGAGGATATAATATATCATAATTGTCTAATAATAATATTCAGAGCTTCAAAATAATATATTTGTAGCGAAGCAGGAATATGTTATGAATATATTCAACTTCAATCTAGCATGCTACTTGACATATTCATCAGACAGGAAAGGAAATTCAAAGTATAAGAGATATGCAGCATGCTAAACTGCTGGGTACACCTGTTACTTCCACCTATCTATTTTAGAAGTGAGTGCTCGGTGGGGTCTCCATTCTAGCTAGAATAGATGATATACAAAAGCCTACAATAATTCTCAAATATTTTGCTGCAGCATAGCTCTAAGTCTGCCTCTCCGCTACTAAGCCCTATCCTCTGCTGCTATAGCTGGTATAATTCTCCTGGTATCTGAGTCCAAGTCCAAGTGTGACACAATGGCGTGTTTGTCACATTTGTCATATGGTGTGACATGAGTGATATCCACCCAAAAAAGCAATTTTTTCAAGGCAAGTCGCTAAAGAGTGACTTGTAGTCACATAGGTCACAGAAACAAAAGTTATCCATTTTTGTATAAACAACTATTGTGAGTGATAAGTATGATAAATTGCCAACAAAGGAAATTTTTGCCCTTGAGGAATACAATTATCAGAAGATGTCAACGTCACAGATCATGACAAAATGAAAGTTGTACATCTTGACTATATAAACAACTTGCATGAAGTAACCTACAGTAACAGCTCAATAGTTATGCCAACATTGGCCAATCACCAGCTGATGTATAACTGATGAGCCTCTATCTTCATAACTACTTGATGGAAATACATAATTTTAGTGCATTCTCAAGAGTATTATCTCTGAAGCATGGTATTTCATCACCATCATATTACAGTCGAGTTCCTCATATGGAATCACCCCATGTGGAATATCCTCAATATGGAATGAGTTTTGGCCTTCCACAGCCTTGGGAGAAGTAAATATTCCACAATTTGTGTTCTGGAATATGGAATGGCCTGATTGTATATAGTCGTATCAGATCATACATCTGCTAAGCCCAATTATCTGCTCTAATTAGAATGAAGAGCCCACTGGGGTCTTCATTCTAATTAGAAGAGATCATATGAAAATGCCTATGCTGCAGTAAAACTCACAATAAATCTTCTATAACTGCAATAATTTCACAGCATAAGATGATACTGACCCTAAATGCCTATGCTGCCAATATAAATATTTACTACAAGACAAGAAGCCTTAAGCTGCAACTAGAGTACTTATGCTGCAAGAAAACTGCAATAATTTCTAACTATATAACATAGTAACTTCTAAGTCAGTGGCTGCTACATATGCTGCAGTACGGCCTAGACATTTACTCAAGTATGTAAGTTCAGCTCTATCTAATTGTAAACTACCTAAAAAGGAAATTCCTAATTGTCAGTAAAATTTCAGCACCTGTGCAGGCTAATACCTACCAGCTCTGTACATGCTGTTACAGAATGTGACACAAGGTCACAAGTGTGACATAGTTCCCAAAAAGGAAATTTCGCAGTTTAACAGCAGGATAACTAGAGAATATCACAAATCATCACAAAATCAAAGTTGTGCATCTTTACTATACAAACAACTTTTATCAAGTGACCTATAGTTGCAGCTCAATAGCTAGGTTAGAACTGTCCAATCACTGGCCAATAGATAACTGATGGGCCTCTATCTCCATAGATACTTAAGCTAAACACATGAATCAAGTACTAGGAAAGGTATCATTAATCAATAAGATATTTTCATCATCATGATTTGATATAATTACCATATTCACCATTCATTCATAAAAAATGGAATATCTCAAAATTAAAACATGTAAGGTAGCTAGATTGTAGGTGTAGATACTATAGACTGAGGCTCTAGTGTGTGACTTCCTAATCCACAGTGAATATGGGACTGAGAATACAATGTATTCCCTTATCAGTGGTATTCAACCTCTATCAACCCTGAAAGATAAGCATGGATCTTCAGCTAGCCTTGGAGGATAAAGCTGGGAGAGAGCTCATTCAAAAGGTATATCATGTCACCATATCCTAGCCCATCCAGTCATACCATCTGTCACCATCACCTTAATCCATTAACTGCCAAGTATGACTGAATACTGAGTTGAGGAGCATTTTGCTGATATCTTGGGCCCTCATCCATGGAATCCCATGATCCCAGTTGATCCAGTTACAGAGGATATTCCACTATAATCCTACTGACTCGTGACCCCACAGAAAGTGTTGATGTCACTGAATTCCTAGAGACCCTAGGTGCTATCTAACCTAGTAGATTCTGGAAGGTATACTATACCCCTACTATCATATATACTCATATTCTCCAGATTCACAAAGGCTATACCATGGTGAACTCATCATTATTGGAATAGATAATATTGATAATGGTCCTGTACAAGATCCAGGATAGCTATGAGGTTGATTCAAGTGCTGGACAGGTTTATTTGAGGTTCTATACAATCCTAAGTTCAAGTCTTTTATCATACTTGAAATTAATTTCTGACCAGTTGTAATAGCGAAGACACTCTTTTTTACTCTATGGGTACCTACCCTCTCTTCAGCTACCTTTAGTAGCACACTCCAGAACCACAACTGATTCTGGTATAGGGTCCTAGTAGACATTCAAATATCTTCATACACCCACCTCAAGGTCTCAGTTTATAGACCTCACAATTCCTGTAAACCAGTCTTTGCACTTTCCCAGTAGTTAAATGTCTGCCCCAATTCACCATCCAAGAGCATACACTCATGAATCAGAGTATGCAGGTATATGTATATACCTCATTGACTGAACTTGACATATTTTAATCCATAATCAACTAACAGATCATGGCTGTATTGCCAATATAATGTATACTAGCAGCCATGTGTATAATGGACATTTACCAGAGATTTCATAGATAAAACAAGATGGGAGGCATTCCATCTCTTAGGGAGACCCTCTGTACACCACCAAAGTGTTCACAGCTGTGACATGGGTGAATATTCCAGCTTGTGTCCACATAACCTACCATCTGGTTCCAGCTGGTTTCCACCTGATTCCGACAAAAGATGACTTTAGGGCGGGCTGGCAACACTGGACTTGTGGTCAAGAGGTGGCAGATCTGACCGATCCGCACACGCGTGATGGGATGTCAATCAGCCCTTAACCCCGGATGTGACGCCAGCGCGCAGAAACAGCTTCGTGCTTACTTTGTGCTGGGTTCGCTCCATGCAGGGCTGTAGAAGCTTGTATATCATAGAATTTACATGACAATGTGCATATATCCCCCCGTTCAGTTCACTCGCCTCTGTTTCTTGGGTCTCGATGAGTTGGGGTCCAGATTCTCCTTGTTGAGAACACTCAGGCTGCCAG